ACGTCATTTTTATTCTTAACTCTTACTTTATTGCCAATTATTTAATGCAGCTACCATATTTTATATATCTCTACCACATTTATTTTGTTTTCTATGGAAAATGAATAGCGCTATAACAATACGATATAAAACTTTGGTTTATGTTAATTTGTATGTTTGTAGTATATATGTTTGGTTTGGTATAAAACTGGTTTATGGTTTTTATGGTTCATCAGAATTTCTCTTATAATATTCAAAGAAAGGAAGAAAAAAATGCTGTAATAGTTCGCCATAAGAAAATACATTTAAGATTTATAAAAGAAATAATAGGCCTAATAATAAAAAAAACTGAAATTGCGAAATAGAAGAAAATGACAGCAAAATATACATTTATGAAAACTGCACTTCAGATAATTCAGGGTTGACACAATATTTATCAAAAAAGGTCTTTATAGCCTTTTCCCCCTGGTTTTTACAATCTTTAAAAAATATAATTTTTTATGGTTTTTACTGTTTAAAAAAAAGAAACAGGTTTTACCCACTTTCAGAAAAAATTCTTGTTGTTTTTGCCTTCTTATTTATTTTAAAGTTTTTTTAAATTTATTTATTATTACTATTATTATTTTCATGCATTTTATCCTAATTCAATTTTTCAGTTCAAACAGTGCTTGGAACAATTGTAACGCTGGTTTTTTTAAAAACTTAGATAGATTATATTTAATTCTGTCTGCCTTTTAAGGTTCAAATGATGCTTTTTAGCATTTAGAATAAAGTTAAAACTTTTATAAAGCCATAGCGTAATCTTATTTTTGTAAGCACATTATTAAAAACGCTGTTATATATATAAATATATTTCACTAAGCTATATAAACATTATGCCATCATCACAAATAGTTGACAAGCGGACATCTTATCACACGCGTTACTTTAGTTCACATAAACATAAAATTAACAAAAATTATAAAGGTAAAGCTTCCCTGTAAAAAAAATTTTATCCCTAATTTAAAAGGTATTTACTTTTGAATATTATTCCAAATTTAGGGATTTAAACTTAAGGTAAAACTTATTAATCGATTAATCGTCTAACAATTATTAAGCTTTAAGTTCTAGTTACTTTTATAATGAGCTTTGTGTAAAATTGAGTCCATTCTGCATATGCACTTAAAACTACGAACACAATATTGTAAACCATTATTAGGAATTAATTATTTGTTAATAATGCAAAAAGTTCTTTCACGAAAAACATTTAACAAGTTTATAGGATGGATTTTCTTTACAGAGCAAATATCCTTGAAAACAGAATTGATTGTGAAAGTCCTTTAAAATGTAAAGGAATTTGAATGTGTACTTTAAATGTAGAAAACTAAAAATAAAATAAGATAATAAGAGTAGGCAACTTATAATGCTTGCCTTTTAAAAACTACAACATTTGGCATTTTTTATGGCATACTAAAGCACAATCTATAAGGGAAAAATTCAGGCATTGTCCACTTGAAAAAACCAAATTAAATGGTATACTACATAAGTGATACAGCATAGTAACAATTAAAGCAAATCTGCTAAATTACAGGAAAAAAAAACAGGAAAGCATAATTATAGTAAACGCAAAAGTGCTAAATAGCAGAAAGGCTGAGAAACATGACCATATTTTCTTAATTGTGTGACAGTTTATACCACAATTTGAACAAGTATTTATTGTATTCAATATGCAATCTTAAAATGAATGAATTTTAAGCTATATATTGAAAATTAAATAGGTTATCATTACCAAAATATGTTCTTTTTATATGACTGGCCAGGATATGACTGTTTTGCATTTGGACAAATGTCCTGCACTATCTTCTTGCTCTACTCAAGTAGAGAAACATTGGAGAGTCCATGGTTTAAAGGCCAAGTGGACAAACGATTAGCATATGATAATAATCAGTACTAAAATTATAATTATATGAATTTATAAGCTCAGTTTTTTAAAAAAAAATTCATTTCTTCTGTGCTTCACACGCAGAACAAAACTGAAAATTGCAGATGTAATACAAGAAGTGAATATGAATGTGTAATTTCATGGATACTAAAATTTTCAAATTATACAAAGTGAATGAGATTGAGATACGAGATATGCTAATTATATTTCGTAAATACCCCCTAAAAAATATTTTATAATTAAACAAGAGCTAAATTAAGTATCAAAACTCATGAACAATAATTATTTTTTTTAGCTTATTTCTTTTCATGTACTATCAATTCTGATTTCAGAGATAATAAAAAAGTTAAAAGATCCAATAAATCTTCCAATCCCACTATCAGATATATTATGGTAAATATTGATGATTTTTATTCCATGCAAAAATGCCAGGTGGGATAACCTTTGTCTTTTTTTCATGATTCTTCAATATTACTGAAGATAATCTTTAAAATAGCAACTAAGAATGATGCATTTCGATATTTCCTACCTACAAATGATTGTTTAACACATTACAGGTGCTTATTATACATAACCAAGTTATCCTAGCACAAAGTATAGGTGGAAAAGTTTTGAATTGTGATTTATCCCTCTTCAAAACATCTAACCACATTTTTCATTTTATTAATTTTTTTCTCTACACTAGTTTTAATTTTTTAACTAAACTGTGAACATGTCAACTTAAACATTTATACTTGATCTAGCAAACCTTCAACTGAATTTAAATCCATTGTCTTCATTTTCAAACATTAAGCAAATATCAAAGAATAAAAATAAATTTGATTCATAAAAAAGCATGGTATGGTATACTATTTCAAAATCCAATCACAGATACTTTCACCTTAACAATGTAAATCTCAACAATGAAAATAAAAATAAACAAAAATGACTAGATATAAGAAAGTAATAGTTAATATATGCGTTCAAAATGAAAAAACAATATATAACTACTTATATGACAAAAAAAAATTGCATAAATAAAAACACAGGCTCATGAAAGAAAGAATTTTCAGTATGGTAAAATAAAACTATTTTGCATGTAATATTTAACATAAAAATTTAATACACTAAAAGTAAAGTATTTAGCATTTGAGGTAGGAGTTAGACTAAATAATGAAAAACCACATTAAAATTTAAATAAAACAAATACACATATAAAAAGTACTGAAAATTTTACACGACAAAATTAATGCACTTAACAGCAGAGTTTTCAATCAGAATTCAATTTCTTATTTTCAGTTATTTTTAAAACAGAAAACAAAAGTTATTGCACAAAGTACAAAATTCTAAAAAACTTTCTTCCATCAGCAAAAATTAACATAGGGAAGTGTTGATTTCAGTACATTATAGGATTACTTTTGGTGCCTATCTACAGTTTTCAGAATGGGTGGTATGCAGCCAGATTTTTGATTTGAGTTCTGAGATGAACTAGCTGCTATACAATCTTCTACTAAACAAGAAGAGCCAGCTTTACTTGGTGTACTAGGAATAGATTCAATTGAGCGAGTACTTCCACAAGACAAATTATCATCTAGTATTTGGGCTGTTTCTCCTTCTGAGAAGGTTTCAGTGTGCTCAGTTATGTCTTCTAATATATCTATAGCTTCATTTAAACTATTATTATCTACTTCACAGTCATTTTCAAAGTCACTAGCATTTTTGAAAGGAATATGGTTTTCTGATTGCATTTGATTATTCAAATCCTCCTCTTCATAATCAACTATGTGGCTTTTATCCAATTCATCATCATCAGCAACAGTTGGATCTTCTTCAGATGAAGATAAATGAGTATCATAAAGCCTAAGATCACTTAATTGAAGCATATCATCAAGGCTACTGGTGCTATTACCAGAATACAACATCTCACTACTTGATGAAGAGTCAGCAAGATATTCTTCGGTACTACGATTTACCCAATGATCTTTAAGCAGGGGATTAATATTCTCCATCTTCTTTCTTTCTGATTCTACTTCAGTAACTTGAAAAACAGTTTCCGTAACGGGAACATCAACGAATTCAGGTACGTAACTTTTATTTTCAACGGGATCACTAGCTTCAAATGAAATATTTGTAGTACTATGTTTAAATTTATTCAATCTTTTCTTTCCTTGTTTTTTGGACATGATCATCTCAATGCTGTCAGTCAAATCATCTGTTGCAAACCGATAATATGTACCATCTTTGTTTGAAGAACCATAATCCATATCTTGGGAATCAGTTGAACTCTGTTTACTAGAAGAATATTTAAGCAAACCTTTGGTGTTAATTGGTTCAGAATTGCATTTTCGTTGACATTCTTTGAGAACTTTACCAATAGAATCTTCCAACGAATCATCTTGAGATGAAAAACTGTCAGCAGCAGGAAGTTGATTAACAGAAACAAAATCAACTGTTTTACTACGCATTAAATTTTTAATATTATGATTAAATTTGTTTTTCTTCGAAGTAGAAAAACATCCAGCCCTTGCATAAAGTGTGGGACTACCTTGGGATTTTAGAGCATGCTCCACCTCAACTCTGAGTATAGGCTTAGGTGACCTAGGTGTATTACATTGTTTTAAAATATTTGATTGAGGTTTTTGAGATTTGTCTAATTTATGCAAAATATAGGGTATATCACCATTCACACAGTTAGAAGATGCATCACCATTCACACAATTCGATTCAAGAACAACCATATCATTTTCAACACTATTTTGATTACAAATTTCAGATAAATCTTTCACCAAATTGCTTAAAAATTCTCCCTTTGCTACTTCTCCCTCACTACCTAACGAGCTTTGTTTAGTATCAAATGGTGCTTTTGAATCGAAAGATAAATTACAAATATGATCAGATTTGTTATCTGACATAGTCAAAGCATCACGACAATTTTGATAAACAACACTGTCAGAAAGAGAATGTTTATGATCTAAAGAATAAGAATTATGTGAAGTGTTATCAGACAAATAATGATCACTAAAATTATCGCTATAATTTTCCTCACTGCAATTACTTATTACATCTGGACTATGAAGTTCACTGTCAATTAAATCTTTATTTAATTTCGAGTAAAGCAAACCTGGTGGAAGATCTCTTCTCTCTGAGTAGGAACCTCTGGAATCAATACATATACTTCCATTTGCCATCATTCTGGATGAGTCTTGATTAACTCTTGGAGAAGAAGGTTGTGAAGCTGATGTGGGCCTTGTCAAAAAAGCTGGAGGCATCTCTAGATCATGAGAAAGGATAACTGAACCACAAGATTGGCTGCTACTTACAGGTAGCAAGGGTTGTGCTGAAAGAGATACACCAACTAGGCCTAGGCCTCTACGATTTGTACTAGAGACACGCAAGCTGGTAGACCTGCAATAATAAAAGGTCATAAAAATTAATAAAATTCAGGTCAAAGAATTATGAATTGAAAAAATATATATAACTTTCTGCTTGTATTTTTAGTGTGAGGATAAATTTCTTCTGTGCCAGGTTCATTTGCTTTTATAAATAACATATACAATAAAGCTTGACTATTCAGAATGAGCTAGATTAGGCAAAGTACAGATATGTAAACATTCTGGATACTTAAGTCGCAAAATGTTGGCTTTTAATGCAACCCTATTTTCTGGAGAGAAAAAAATGCCATATCTCAATAAAAGCCCAAGATTTTAGTGCAAATGACACTCATAAAAAAAATATAAACAATATAACAATACAATTAAAGACAAATAAATGAAAAACATGAATGGTAAAGTTGAAAAAACACACGACAGGGATATAAAAACAAATCTTATTAAATAAGGACATGTTTTTACCATTTAATGTTGAAATTTTTGGTGTTTTATATTACTGTACAGAGTGGCCACTCTCCATACACAATTAGGTGAGATATCCAAGGTCGCATTAGAAAAAAAATTTCTGGATTGGGTTGCAAAATCTCATGAATAAAACATAATTTTAATAAATTATTAAAATATTTAAGCATGCGTTTAAGAATTGAGAAGGAAAAAATTTCAATTAAAATTTCCACTTTTTTTATATTAAAACTGATCATTGTTAAAATGTTCATGATATTGAACAAAGCATTTATGACTTTCATTAAAAATTTTCATTAATAATTTTATGACAGGCTATAGATAGATATGTCTGGTTTTGAAAAAAATTTTATTGTCCTAATGTTTTTAGATGTAGGAAAACTGGAAATTATTAATTAAATAAATTAAAAATGAGTTATTTATTAAAATAACATTGATGAAAAGAAAAAAAAGTGAGACAGGATAAATTTTAAATGATACAATTTCATACATAAAAAAATTGAAACATTTTGTTGAGTGTAAATACATGAATTTATATATTTGTTATATTATTTTTAATGAATATAACAAACAATCTGCTAGAAGCCGGGGTGATTCAGGGGATAGAGCGTCTGCATCTTATAACTTTACACTTGGCTCGCACTGACCACAGTGCTGATATAAAATATCCTCTGTGGTAGATGGATCATGGGTTAGAGCCCCCTTGCCATCAGGCTAACCATGAGTGGTTTTCTTGGTTTTCCTCTCCATGTAATGCAAATACAAGTTAGTTCCATCAAAAGGTCATGCAAGAAGGCAAAATTTCTCCCACTACTTGATCCTGGAGTTCCCTAGTGTTCTGGATCAGGTTCAAAATTACAAGGCAACAGAGATGAACATTGGTAGTCATAAACTCAAAAAATTGGGTTGGCTGTTCAACAACGTTTATAAAAAAATACTGATAGGGCTGCAGTAATTTAAGAGATAGAGAGTGTTTGCCTCCCAATGGGGTAACCCAGGTTCAAATGTCAGCGGTAGCTGGTTGATACGAAGTCTGTTCCAGGCTCACATCGACTACAGTGTTGACGTAAAATATTGTCAGTGGTAAATGAATCATGGGTAAGAATCCTCTTACAGTCAGGCAAACCATGGGAGGTTTTCATGGTTTCTCCTCTCTTCTAGGTTGAGTTCAAAATTATAAGGCTATGGAAATGAACAATGATAGTCACAAACTCAGAATTAGGTCGGCTGTTCAGAACTGGTTATAAAATTAAAATAAAAAAGTACTATTAATTTTTGATCTTCCAAAATATTCCAGAAATCAGAGTAAACTTTCTAAAAATTCTAGGCTTTTCAGGAGTACTTTCGAATTCCCCGGGCATTCCATGTATTCTTCTGTTTTCAGAGTGAGTGGCCACTCTGCTGTACTTACTGGAAAAAATTTTGAACCATAATAAAAAAAGCAGATAAGAAAAAAACTAAAATAGCTACGTGAAAGAAAATATATGAAACAGAAAAAAATAAATAAAAAAAGCATAATTGAGTCACTGCTTATAGAAAATAATAAAGATAATGGAAAAATAAACTGTAATAGTTGTTAATAGAAGTATTTGAAGGGAAATTACAAGCTAAATAGCTGGAAAAGTGTTGCACCACAATAAAAACACTGATATAAAATATTTTCCAGAATCTCAGCTTTTAGAACAATAATAAGGGTAATAGGTAAGCAAAGACTAGAATAGTCATCTAACAAGAAATATTAAAGATAAATGTGATATTGACTAACAGCTATAAAAATAAAACTGAAGTTACACAATTGACAAAAAGGCGAAAGAGAAACAGCAAATAAAATTGTTCCTTATTCTGAAAGCTAAACTTTAAAATGAAATAATCATTTTTCTACATTACTGTACTTTCAGGAAGAAAAAAAATACTACCAAAAATGCCTTTAAAAAATGTTGCGATGTAACAAAATGCAGGTTAAAAAGTTCAATAAACAAAAAAATTGTGAAGTGAACCAAAACTAAAACACAAGAAGAAAAAAAAAACTCATCTGCATCAAATCCAAATCTATTTAATATTCATTATTCTTATTTGATTTGTTATTTAATTTTTCTGAAAGATATCAATGACAGTATGGTGATTAACAAATACAAATCAAGAACAAAGTGTCTTTAAACAAATACAAATAAAAATACTAAAAAAAATTTACAATTTTTTTTTGTTATGTTATGTTATAGGAAATTTAACATTATCCTCTATGTTATTTTTTTGGCAACTATTTTCCCTTCCTCTAACAGAGACTGAAGAAAATTTTCTACTTACTCTTTATTAAAATGAAGTTATAGGAAGGGGATGACGTTCGTTTCTTCGGAAACCACAATTATTGTCTTCTTTTGTCCTAAACTTTCTTTCTTTTTATATAAATTTTATCTCGCAGGTTTTCAACAATTTTATCAATGAAAAAACTGCTTATATTATCTTACAAAATAATGCAATTTATTGGTACTTCACAATAAATTGTTTCAATGCTTTAATTAACCTTTTGTAAATAAATTCCTTTTTTTAAAAAGCTTTTGTAAACTTTTACAAATCCTAGCTTTTTGAGCTTTCTGGTTAATCTCATTCCAAATAGTCGAAAATTTGCAATGCTACACTTGCATAATATAAAGAGAAGAGTAATTGGTATATTCTTTTAATATTTACAAGTTTAAGTTGGGCACAAATGCCAAATAAAATGTAGCAAATAGAAATTTATCACTGAAAGTTTGAATTAAAAATTCTGTCTTTCCAAAAATAAGAATATAGCAATGAATATGCATACAATCAACCAATAACATGAAAGAATTGATACTTTAAGACTAACAAATGCAAGTTCAAAATAAATAAGGAAGATACAATACAATTGTAATTGTGAAATTTTACAGAGCAATGTTTGATGTCAATAAAAAAATTTAAGTTGGGGCCTATAATATTTTTTTAAAAACTAAATTTTGGCAAACAAAAGAAAAAAATAGTTTAAAGATTTTAATATGAAAAGATATAAGGATTATATTGATTCAAGAGTTTAATGACACAAGTCAAAATAAAAACAATTTTGTACACAAAATCAGATTATAGTTTATAGTTATAGATTATAGTTATAGATTATAGTTTATAGTTATAGATTATAGTTATAGATTATAGTTATAGATTATAGTTATAGATTATAGTTATAGTTATAGATTATAGTTATAGTTATAGATTATAGTTATAGATTATAGTTATTATAGATTTTGTACACAGAATCAGATCAGTTACTATTGAAATGAGAGTGTACAAACATTACTCATCATTATTATTTTCAAATAATAATGCATTTATCCAAGATCTGATTTAAATTATTTTTACTACTGTAAATAACTTCCTTTCTTCAAAATCGAAATACAGGTACATTTATCTATAAAAGATTTCTTTGTAATCTGCAAAGCATCAAACGGTTCTAAGTTTAAGTCAAATTAAACTACTTGAATCTTAAAAAAAATAAATAAATAAAAAATATAAATTAGTTTTCAAGTTCTCACAGATAAAAATTCAAACAAAATTTCTTGCTTCAAAATAAGAATATTGTCAGGAAGCAGAGAGAAGTATTTTGCACAACTGAAAGTTCAGTGAAAGAACACACTGCTTTACCTTTGAAACGGCTGACGCTTCACATAATTTTCTCTCACATATTCTACCATTTGTTTCTGTGTTCTGCCACTGTACCTGCAAAAATACATAATATGCATGACAAAATATTCAAAACAAGTATTTCATTACTAGGAACAGCAATTATAAAAGTGTGCTAATTTGTATAAAAGATGGAATTTAAATTTTACAATAATACTCCAAGTTGACAAATATCAGATGAAAATTAGTACAGTAGAGAAATTATCCGGGATGCTTGGGACCATCGCTATCGGGATCGCTATCTTTCTCGGATGACTGAATTTCCCAGTTTTCTGGATTGGTCAAAAAGTGTCGCTAATCGATGTTTTATCGAACCCAAATTACAAGGAAGAAGTGTAACACATTTTAAAATAAGAAACGAAAGAAAGGCTCTCCTAAATTTCAAAAATAAATGTTAGAAAAATAACATTTAAAAGAATAAAAATATTTGCAAGTTTAGACAAGAAAAACAAGTTTAAAAAATACAAAACTCACAAATTTACTTTTTGAAAATAATTAAAAAACCCAAATTAACTAATATAAAACAAAACCAACGATTAAATAACGCAATATATTTCATACCTAATTATAAAGAAAAAAAAGGAAAACTTATTAATCTAAATAAAAACAACACTTGAAAATTATAATTAACGATAGTTAAAAAAGGGCACTAGCATAAATATTAAAACCCAGAACAAGGCCGGATATCATAAGATCAACGGAATTTAAAAAACACTTATTGATAAAATTTATGAATGAAAAGAATTAATTTATTGAATATGAATTTTATCATGAAAAGAAAAAAAAAACTCCAACATAATGGAATCAGAAAACCAGAATTAAAAAAAATTAAAAAAAACAGCTATCTGCTTCATAAAATAATCGTCTGCTATTAGTAATAAATAATTATATGCTTAAATTAATAAACAATCTTCTCCTCTTATATTTTTTTATTTTATAAAAACAGACGATTTTTAACGAAAGCAGATGCGATTCCATTTCAAGAAAAACTTGCATAGAAATGATACTGCACTTCTAAGAAATCAGAATTTATTCATGAGAAAAATATTGTTTTGTTAATAGATGTCAAATAGATAAATATAACTGGTGATTAAAAAAACGCTTTACTCCTAATAAATAATGTATTATCCGAAATTATAAAACAATTTATCATAATAAATCTTATATTTATATGATATATTTTTCTTTTTTATTTTATCTTTTGTTCACTGATATGCGTATGCAATGCATTTTCCCCACCCTCTCATAAATCAGAGAGAAAACGAAATCAGCATGCCGCTCCTTAAGTTTAACTGATGGCAGCTTATCAGAAAAACTATGATTCTTTCGGTCACACAGGAGAAAATAAAACATTTGTCCCTTCCCTGCCCCCTTTCGATCTAAAGATCTTCAAGGTCAGGGAAGAAATGAAGTTTCTCTGGGCAAACGGGAAGAAAAATTTTCCCCTACACCCACGTTTTCCTCTACTCAACTTCGAGTTTCAGTCAAATATCCGATCTCTTTCAAAAATGTTCTAGTTCAAAATGACAGGAAAACCGCACAAAATTTGTACCGGTTTTCTGGATACCAGATAAATGGTTCTCTACCGTATAAGGTAAATGCCTACGTAACAAAAAAGATATCACAATATTCTGAGAAAATAATAATCACAGAGGACACACAGGAATGCAATTGTGTTAGAGGACGTTGTAATAAAACGAAATCTACACTTTGTTTTAAATTGAAATAACACTCTGACTAATCAAGACTTAGTGTACACTCTAGGCACATGTTGTGCAGCAGACAGTTTTGAATTAATATTAAATTATTTAACTTTCCATCTCTTAAACAACGCTAGAACCAACCATTTATAAGTCTTCAATTATACGAAGTTTTTTTTTTTTTTAAAGCTGGCATTTTATAAGACAAAACAGGCTTACCCCAACTGAAAAAATTTTGATACAATAAATAATACAAATTGTCCTTATAGAATTATTGCAGTGATAATTTTGATAAGGGGAACTGCAGAATTCAAAAAACATTATGAAGGGGCTGCAAAGCCAGGAAAAGGTAGTAAAAATGTGCGCTCAGAATTTTACATATGCACATTTCCTTCGTGTTAGAATTTTTATTTTGCAACATATGCAAAAGTACATAACTTTATTGGCAGAAATTCAGAAAATGACATAAAAGTAAGTACTGAGATTGACATACAATGTATAATTCATAGAAGAAATAATTAAATGTAAACAAAGTACAACTTATTTACAAAATTATCACCATTCAAAATCAAATATTACATTGTTTGCACTCTGCAGTAATCTATAAGAAAAGACAAGTTTTGATGCAGTTTCTAAACCTAAACAATTTCACAATTTGCTATGCACAAACCAGAAATTTGAGAAAATTCTCTCAAGTCCAGCAGAACTAGCAGTCATTGCCATCAAGGAACAAGCAAGATTTGTGAAACTTTCATCTATTGCATATTTTTTAAAACTGAACCACCATGTAGCAGTCTAACCAATTATATTGCCTCTTACATACAGCAAAGACTAAAACTGTTACTGTTATAATAATTGGATTGTTGTCATGCAAATTATGTCTTGAAAAGAAAAAAACTATTTGAAAATAGCTCTATTCAGTTATGTTAAGAGTTAAATGATAATAATTACTGAATTTCAGAGTTTAATGTAATAAACTAAAATCTAGCATTTATATTTATTATTACATTACTTTATTTTTTATTTCATATAAATATTTGATATACTGTACTCTTTATATTTAATATAAACAAAATAATATATATTAACAAACAATGAATTAAAAAGTTTGTTACAGTTACATGGAGTTACATTTTTCAGTTTACTCAAACAAAATGTCATTAAGCAATTACTAGAACTAGTATAGACGTTTTTTTAGTTTCTGCCAATTTTTGCCGGTTTTTACTGGTTATAACCAATTTCTTCCATTGGCATGGCAAAAACCAGCTCCTTCTGGCAAAAAGCCAACCCTGAGTCACATAGAACACCATGTTAAGTCTCAGCAGCAACCCACTATCAATAGCCAAGAAGACAGACAGCTTGACTAAGGGGGTTGAAGAGCCAAATTACTCATCGTGAGTATAGAAATAAAATAGTTCCCAAGACAAAATTTTTATATTGAAATAGTTCAACATTTGCAGCAGCATGGACCCATGAACGGTGGCACAGCTGCTTGTTGGGTGTACTATCCTCGCCTTTTTTAACACAAAACATGTCCGAAGGTCGAAGGTAGCTAGGACAACGCCCCGAACTTTGAACAATTGAAAATGTTTGTTGATGGTTTAAAAGCAAATAAACTAAGGTATAGTTTTTAAAGTGTACTGATTAAGGTTGCAGAAATTGCTCTATAACACACATTTATATTTTTATTTTAATTATTAAGATTTTATTTACGTCTTCTTTCTATTCTATAATATCTAACTCCTCATCCACGTAGATAAATTATGTTATTTTTACCAAAGTTGGCAACTTTTGTTACTGATTTTTCAATATCTACATGTCCTACTTGCCTCTAAATTGCTCTTCTTACTATAATGTATGAGTCTAATAAATAACATTCATTTATTTCTATTCTTTTCTAAAGTAGCAATTTTAATGGCCAGCAGTGAATACACATAAAATGTTTTATTTATATGCAATAAAATCAAAAAATTAACAATAATGAGTAATAAGTATAATAAATTAGAAATCATACAGCAATTATTTTTTTAAATAAAGATATACCTAAAAGAAGAGCCTCGACTAAAAATTCGAGTTTTCTGCCGTGGTAATCGCTTTACTTCTGAACATCGAAAAAAAGCATGATTTTCAATGCATTTCTTCCAAAAGTTTTTACATTCATTTCGACTTTCAAAAACAAATTCTACAGTGTCTTTATAATACCCCTGTAAATAAATAACTTCATGTTAATACCCTTAATCATCTCAATTTTCTTTACAGTTGAAATCTTAAATATAAATATGAATTAATATAAAAATGTCTATTCTATAATTTGAAACGTTTAATGCACTTGACTAAGAATACATTGCGAATCCAACAATCAAAAATAGGGTTTAATAGTATTATGACATAGTAGGTACAAATCCTCTATAATTATTAGCAGAATAGGCTAAATATCAGAGATGCATGGATTTGCAAAAATACTCCTGTCAAACAGAGTTCAACAAACTTTCACAGGGCTAGTAGAACACAAGTTCTTAGAACAGCAAAATGTCTCAGTTCAGTTCATAGATCAGCAGACAGAGTTCACCAGAATTTATCATATAATCGTTAGTCAAAAATTCCACATTAGAGGGACCTTGATACCTCCTTTGTTGTGTTGGGAACAAAGACAATCGAAAAAACCTCACAATAGCGGCAGGAACAGGACTCCAAGGGATTCTCGATATCTTTTTTTCAGAATGCTTTAAGACAGTAAAGAAAAGTGCATCACTCTAAGTGGTCCAGTTCAAATATGTAAGAACGCGTCTCATCTAGAGTATCAGTCGTTTAACTACACTTATTCAGACCTTTACTAGCAAGTTTCCAGCACAAAAGATGAACTCGTTGTTACTGGTCTACTCACTAAAGAAACAAAAGGGAGAGAAAGAGACGAAAAACAGGCAGTTTTTAACCTAACATGTATTTCACATAAAAACGATGCTAACAATAAATATAAAAAAATTCACTATTAAAACTTGCTTAGAAATAAAATATGCTAATTTCTTATTTGACACTTAGGATAGCAGCTTTCACTCCTAGTGATCCACCATGCGACTACCAGAAACAGTACAAACAAAAGATAGTAATGAAAACAAACATAGACTTTTAATAAGCAATGTCAGTCAAGCAATTCTTCTTTAATTTGTTGATCAATTAACTGTTCCTATAGCAGTTTTAGTTTTCAAGATCAAAATTACTTTTCTCCACAACTTTAGTTTTCAAAACCAATAGCTTTCAAGCATTCTCATTTATAACTTAACAAACAAACATATGCTGTGGTGGCTCAGCTGATAGAGCACTCATCTCCCAATGAGGTGATCCGGGTTCAAATCCCATGGCTGGTCGATATGAATTCTGCACAATATAGCCAAATTCACATAATTTATTTAAGAGCATATGTGAACCTTTTAAAGAAAAGTTGATTTTTCACTACCTAATTTCTCAAAAACTACTATCGTTTTAGCACTGAGTTAATTAAGACTCAATCAGGTATCTAAATGTTACATTTGCAATTTTCAAAAATCCTTCACACAAATTTTTCATTACATAACAAGGTCATTTTGCTTTTTGGTAATCAGTAATAAGTAAATTAATACTGGAATAAGAGCAACCATGAAACATTGAAGGCTTTCAGAAGTATTTGAAAGAAATAAACCCCAAAAAATGAAGTTAAGTATTTGTATGTAGTAATTATTTGTATTAACTATTTGTAGAAATAAATTTAACAAAAAACTGATAAAACATTATTAAAAGCAAGGAAATCACCACTATGATCCTTAAAATAAAAATAAAACAAAAAGAAAGAAATTGAAGCACTACTGGACTAATTGTTGAAGGTACAAAAGACTCACAGTTAAATTCCTTGAAAACTTAACAATGAATCTAGCATTTCTATGACATAAATATCAAATAATGTAATGATGAATAAGATACTTACATAGCCCTCAGGATGAAGCTTAATTAAAAACTTCCTTCTTTTAAAACTTATTTTTCTAATTTTAGCCCAGGAAAATGTGTTGATTTTTGTGAAATTCTGGAAGACTAATACACCCATATGAGCAGCAGCTAGATTTAAAGGAACTCCTTCACTGTCCTAAATGAGATAAATAAGAATTAAGAAATGCAATAGCATAAGTAGAAAAAAATAAAAATGCTATTAAAAGTCTCCAGCTGCTTTTAATTTTCTGCGCTTCACAATGTTCCTTACTACTTATCAGAAAACCTATAACAGTAATAGGAAAAAAATTTGGACTCGTACTACCGTATTATCTCTGTGGAAATAAACTTCCCAGTCTATGCAACAGCTTTGAAAATTTTAGGTGATAAAATTACTAGCATATTTCGAAGTTTTATAATAGCAGCTTTATAATTTAAACCCATACAAATTCGTCTCAATTGTGGCATAGGGAAAAAAATTTAGTATCAAGATAGTCACATAGAGTATAAATCTTGTTACCATAAAAGATAACAAAGCAGTCAGTCCAAATCTTTTTTCTAAATATATTGAGGAAGATAAAATTTTAAAAGAAAAAAAAATGTTAAAGTCAATTATTTTACAAATAATACAAAAGCATAATTAACAAATACCAAGTGTGGCTAGTCTCAGTATTAAAAGCTATAAGTTATTTGGACTTGTTGACAGTATGCATATATTTTTAACTTTTTATGTTTCAACTTTTCATTTTGAGGTTCTGTTGATAAAAAAATTTAAAAACCTTCAATACTTACTCTAAGTCATAGAGTCAAAGCCAGCCAATGAGTTTAATTCAAATTAGACACAAAACACAAGGTAAAAGTAAAATCAAATAAATAATTAAATTAATATCTATACAATTAGGTTCATGGCTGACTGCTTAAGAACCAATACATCCTTATATTAATTATTCTTTAAGAGAGATGAATTTTAAAACAATAATAAGACTGTACAGAACATACTTTTGCAGGTGTCATTTTAATTCCATACAACTCACATCTCCGAGAAGTTTCTAACAAATTAAGATCAGCTTCAGCAGGTGATTGCCCTCTAAAAATAAAAATAAAAATTAATTTTAATAAAGAAATAAGAAGCAAGAAACATATTAAAAGAAAAACAAACCACTGAAACAAGTGTTGTGATTCAAGTAATCTGAAACAATAATGCAGTTAGAGTGATTTTTGTAACAAAGCACATACTAAAATTTCAAAATTGAATACAAGGCTATGATAGTTAATCTAAGTACTTTTTAAAAGAATAGTAAATGTCATATGATGCTTATGTTAGTATTAGGAAAATATTATTTTAAAACTAAATATAGCAGTATTATATTTTATTTATTAATTTAAAACGAAATATAGCAATGGGTTGACTATATTTGAGGGTGCCCCTTGATTCTCGCCAAGTTTTGATCGCGGTTGATCGTCAAGCTGGGCGATGTTGAAACCCAATCGTGATTCTGATTGGTTTAGATTTTAGCATCATTTTTAAATGTTCAACGGTTGTAATTTCAGAGGTCCGTTAGTTCTACGTTGGATACCGGCTGGTAAGGTTACTTTTGAATCTGGTCAATAAGATCAAAGGTATGTGGGCAGTCATAAAAAGGTATTTAAGAAAAAAATGTCACCGCTAGTCCAGTATTACAGACGCCATTTCCGATTCGTATTTCGTCGCATTTATGTGGCGATGGAGGTACACCGATTCTATTCATGATAAATTTATACAGTATCTAACTGTTATTAGATAATTCTGTGCACCTAAATCTGAGAATATTCAAGCTTAATGAAGAAGTGAGTTGTTTTTTTCCTTTTCTTTCTGCGCCTACTCCAATAATTTTTGCTTCGATTCAAAATCCTTTTTATTGGACTTATTAATTTTGCTTATATTGGGTTCATTGCAAGCTTTATTCAATGTTTTGTTGAAATTTTCCAATGTTTTACTGAAATATCATTATGTTTTGGCCGCCATTCCTGTTACCACGGTGTTCCGCGCAAACAGGCATAGCGCCAAACATAAGTCGCCAATTTCGCCAAGGGGCACCCTCAAGTATATTTTTCCCATAGCAATATTATAATTTATTTATGATACACTTGTTTAAAAAAAATATTATACTCCCACCAGCACATGAACAACTATGCAATGTTCCAAAACTGCATTTATGTATTATGTGCATTAGAGAATGTACTTTAACATAAAAGATCAACTTTCATTCAAATACTATATAAAAACTACACCCACACATCTCTAGTCTCACACCCCACTCTTTCCAGATAAGGGTCACATTTTATATTTATTTAGTGAAAACTTTAAAAACAGTTTATATTCAGATTTTTATTTATTTGTTTTTTCATAATAGGTTCCATCAATATTTTTATTTGTATTAAATAGGAAAGCAAAACAATAGTTCATCTCATAACAGAGGTTTTGGGACTATTTCTAAAATTTTTACATATATTAATTCCAGAACTAATATGAAATTTTAAAAAAGATCAAATTTTATTATCTTAAGTCATAAGAGTATATGGCTGCAAAAAATGAAAATTTTACTGAGATTAGTTTTACTTATACATTGAAATATCCAAAAAGAATGGTCAATATAAACCATTCAATTATTTAAAATTTATAATTCAAAATTTAGACTAAACAAGATGTGTTACACATTCTCAAACATAAGTACATGGATGAAAAGGAAACACAATTACCCTGCTAATAGTTTCGACTAAACTGAATAACAAAATGCAAAAAAAAAACTTCAACTTTGATATAAAACAACTCAAAAATCAATGACTACATCAATTAACATTTTCACATCAGAATGTTCTTAAAATATTGCAACATGTGCAGAATTTCACATCGTTTCAACAAATAATTTTTGAGTTATGACAGTGAGAAAGAAGCTTGACAAAAAAAAATAATTTCAAAACAGGGATGATGATGGCAGTAATTTTTTTTTTCTTCTTTTAATATAGAGATATTATAACAAATATGTCAGTAAATTTAAATCAACATCTAAACGTGCAAAGCACTAAAAATCTCACTATAAACTAAACTATATGAGTGGAATTTTCATTACCTTTAAACTTTTTGGCAATACTGGTTACATAATGATAACAAAATAAGACATTCATTCAGAGAATATACGATTTAACGGTAATTATTATTTAACTAAAATATTCAAGACTGTAAGTTGGAAGTGAATACACACCACTCATTAGATTATGAGGTATTAAGAGTTTTCAGATTATTTTGCTGACTGTACAGTATACACAAGAAAAAAAAAATCTTAATTATCATAATTTGAGAATATATTTAACTTACATGTGTTTCTTATGATTTTCCATGATTTTATGTTGAAATTCAGCATCTTGATGAGGAACAAACATAAAGGATGCAACATAAGTGTGATCAGGATAGTCTTCAGATACAAAATCACCACATTCAGCTACAAAAATTATTTAAAATAAATATTTCTAAACTTAAAGAAAATCAAGAAATGAGGAAGCTTTTTTTCTAGGGAAAGTTGCTTTTACTCTTTGTAGTAAATAGTTATATAATTTTTTACATATAAGGGTGCACAACCTGCAGCTTGCCGACTGTTGATAAGCAGTCTGCAAAAACTTTTAAGCACAATAATTTTTCCAAAAAAAAATTTCCACATTTTGAATCACAAATTTGAATTAAGACTTTTGATGTACTCAATTTGCATAGATACTATTGCAAATCTATATTTTTTCTTGATAGTTTTGTCAACAGTTATTGATTGCTGCGAAATTCTGAATAGTTTTTTTAAAAGAAAAAACAATATTTTAATACTTTATTATGATGCGCGAGTTTTGAATTTAAATAATTTTTAAAGGCAGTTATTGTTATGCTTTTGCACGAGATTTTGAAAATCTCCTATTTCACTACGATATTATTACGACACACGTGTTTCAAATCGCACATTTAAATTATCACTTTTTGAAGCACATTGTTTTTATTGATTTCATCATAAATCCAAGTTATTTTCCAATAATTTTTTTAAATAGTTTTTGCAATGCAATCCCAGGTGGTTTTAGAAATTTCGAATTTTTCTTACGACTAGCCAATTTTAAATACCGCATTTAAATAATTACTTGATGGTGTGTTTTATTTATGCTGATTACTTCGTAAATGTAAGCAATTTTTCCTCTATATTTCCAATCTGTTATTTTAACTATGATGTTAATACGACACACAAGTTTCTAATCGCACCTTTAAATAATCACCTTTTTACAATATTTATTTGTGCATATTTCATCCTAAATAAGTTCTTTTTACATCGTTTTTTGGCAATTAGCACCATGCATTTGTATGTGGTATTTAGAATTCCAATATTTCAATACTATGTTATTACAACATTAAAAAAAATTGAAAAGTGGAGCAAAAGGCAAACTTTTTAAATTGCTCACTGTTTGTAATTCTGTTTTAAATTTCTTGCATGATTTTTTTTTAAGAAAAAAAGAAAAAGAAAACCTTTTCCATTTAAAATAAATAATAGCAAAGAAATATTAAATTTTAATATGTATTATAATAGTTTTATTTTAATTTTTTTGCTTAACCCTATAAATTTTATTTTACATATTTAGTTCAAGTTTCTATTACTGATTAAAATCTGTAGGTATTTTTTACACTTTTATTCTGTGAGCATAATAGCTTTTTTGTTAGTGTTTATAGTATCTCTTGCAAGAGTCCATAATATACGTGCAACCCTTCGTTAGTCAACCTGCAGTGCAAGTGGCCCTTCACTCAAAAAGGTTGTGCATCCCTAATTTACAAGAAGACATAATCAATTAAAATCATGACTATTTTTAAGTTAATAAAACTAACAACAGAAAACGGGAAAGTTTCCGAAAATTAAAGATGGAACTTAGAGCTAGCTGATGATTTGAATATTTATAAAAATAACCAATACTAATATAATCAGAGATAGAATGTATTGTTTCAAGAGCAAGAATGGACTACACTGTACTTATCTTGAAAAACATTACATATTCAAGGTGTTATAGCAATGTTCGATAGATGAAGGGGAAAAAAAAGAGAAAAGATTACTTGGTGCTTACTTAAGATGATTAAGACCTTTTGATATGGTCCAAATAAAATATTAGCATTATCATTTGCACTAATATGCAATATAGAATAGATTCAGAAACATTTACAGTAGAAAAACTAAAACTACACACAATTTATATATTTAAAGAAAAATATATGAAAAGAAAACACATAAAACACTTGAAAGGAATTGCATTAGGTATTAAATTACTTACCTTGCACAATGTAAGAGGCCATTAATGCTGCGGTATTGTCATTGCATAGTAAAATTCCTTGAGCTAAATCTCGCTTGATTTGTAAACTGAATAAATACCTAAAATATAATAATAATTTACAATATAATTCTTAATACATTAAATAAACAGCAGATTAATTTATTCACCATTTATTTCAGATTAATATTTCATTTTCAATAATTTAGGAGCATAAATTATTACAAGAGAAAAAATGAACTAAATGCAAAAATTTCTCAATCATAAAAAAAAACTAAGTAGAGAACTTTGGATTGATTACCTTATTTCCTATTCGAAACTAATTCCAAAATCATTCTGGATTTGCAAATAAAATGTTTTGTCTGGCACAAATGAGTACAAAATTATTTTAGAGAAAGAGCTACCTAGAATCTACAACACTGAATAATATTTTGGATGGAAATTATAATTTATTGTTATATATTATAAGTAATGTAATGTTTAAAATGTTAAGTTTGCAATAATTAGTAATCTTTAGTTTCTTCTGAAAATTCTAGTTTTTACAAGTCTTTTTAAAAAGAAGTTGTTTTTTTTTTGTACTTTTAAATATTTATCTCTTAAAATAATCCAACTTTTTTTATTTAATAAATCATTGTGATTAAATATTTTTTTAAATTTTTCACATATAAAATCATTAATTACGATTAACCTACATCATACAAAAGACAAAATATTGATTTTTACATTTTTCAAACTAATTAAAAATCACTAAAGAATTCCTCTTACCTAAAAAATTTTTGCTCCATACTGAAAATTTCAAACTTAAAGACACATCTTGAAGTTAAGATAATGATGGATTTTGGCTTAATTCAGAAATCACGATATGTTAAGGAAAATTTGCATTAATAAAAGAGTATCTGCATTTGTTCGTCTTATAGAGATTGTTAGGGAGATTAATCGGAGTAATTATTTTGTTGTTCAGAGAAAGATAGTTAAAATAAATGGAAATGTTAGTAAGCTTCTTATTTATTAACTTTTTAAAAAAATTTTGAATTTTATTAGTTTTCAAGGTGGGATTAAACTAAAAAAAAACTAAAGAATATAACATCAAGACTTTTCACTTATTTATAGACTTCAAGGCTGCCAATGATAGCATCAAGAGGGATAAACTGCTTTAGAGAATGAATGAGTTCGGTATATCTGTAAAACTTGTTAACCTCACCGGCGCTACACTCAGTAATGTGAGATGCAGGATTAAAATTGAAAACCATCTTTCTAAACACTTTGTAACTGAAAGAGGCTTGCTTACCTACCCTACCCTTGATTCCCTTGCTTACCTACTTTTTAACATTGCTTTGAAGAAATGTATCCGAGATAATGGATTGGATCAAAGAGGCACTCTCTGGAATAGGTCTCCTCAAGTTTTGGTCTGTGCGGATGATATTGATATAATTGGAAGGTCAGAAAGAGATGTCAAAGAGGCTTTTCAAGCTCTCAAAGCTGCTGCCACAAATATGGGCCTTGCTATTAATAAAGATAAGACAAAATTCACAGAATTTTCATCCTCAACTGTAAATTACAGTGCCCCTTTATGACTTTGAAATAATTATAACTTTGAAAGGGTTAACAAACTGAAATACCTTGGCTCTGTTGTTAACGATCAAAACATACTTAGAGCAGAAATCAACAATAGAGTCCAAATGGCTAATAAGTGTTTCTTTGGACTAGGAGACAGTTAAGATCAAATCTTCTCAGCCGAAAAACAAAGTTAAAACTCTATAAGACACTTATACTTCCTGTGCTACTTAATGGAAGTGAAACTTGGACCCTAAATTCAGATTTACAGTGGACACTAGACACCTTTGAAAAAAAGATCCTCAGAGCCATCTTTGGCGCAATTAAAGAAAGGGGATGCTGGCGAACCAGATATAACTTCGAGCTCTACCGACTCTACAAGCAGCCCCAAATTTCCCAAATAATTCGCAGTAATAGGCTGAGATGGCTGGGCTATCTATGGAGAAGCCTTGAAAATAGCGCCATGAGAATAGTCACATATAAGAGCCACGAGGGGTCACGTCCCAGAAGCAGAACCCCTTCGAAGATGGCTCAACGACATCGAAAATTACTTGAAAATCCTAAAGATTAGAAATTGGAAGGGAGTTGCCATGGATAGAAGGCGCTGGCGTTTGTCAGCTGTTGAGGCAGCCAAGGCCTGCTAAGGGCTGTTGTGCTGACAAAGAAGAAGGTGGGATTAAATAAATGTGGGTTAAGGGTGGTGTATAAATCAAGTGCTTTTGTAATAGTAAAGTTTTTTTTAAAAAAAATAATTTTAGGGTTCTATGGGGATAGGGGGAGTGCATAATTTTTTAAAACAGTTTGTGAAGAGTTTGAAAGGGAATCGAAACTTCAGTGATGATATGCAGTTTATGTGAATGATTATGATATTTGAGATTCTTGGATTACAATCATCAATGAAGATAGGACAATTTTTAAAATAGAATTGTTAAAATGGAATACTCTTTAGCTCTCAGACAAGTTTCTATATATTTATATTTTCTGGAATTTTACTACTTTTTTTAAATTTTATGTTTTATAATAATAATGTTTTAATATAAGTCGGCAGCACTGTTTTAGGGAATGCTAAAACAACTGCATGTTATGAAAAATCAAAGAAAAAGGGGTGCAGACACATAGCTGTTGCCCCGGAGACTGATTTGTTATGAACCCATTTCTTGGGGATATTTTTTCATAGCCAATAACTTTTGTCATAATTTTATTAGCACCAGTCACGTTCCATGCCAGTAACGGACTCAAGTAATGCAACCCAATAAAATTTAAATTTTACCTGTATTATATTTTTTAAGACCAAATTACATTTCATAAATGCATTTCACAATGATTTGTAAAATAGCAATTTTTATACAAAAAATTTCTCTACTTCAATTAAATTTAAATAATTTCAAAACAAGTATGCAATCGAAAGTGAATAAAATGCCATTAAAAATTTCTATGTTGTCAAAAAATGTTTAATTAAAAATTTAAGAAAAATAACGCTAATAGGGGAGGGATCAATCTTTAATTATGAGTTTGAGTTTAAAAAAGCAATAAATAAAATGTATTTTAATATGCAAGGCAAAAAATTGCTCATTATTTTTTTAAATCACGCTTCATTTGTTCATGTTTATTAACATTTCATTTCATTTTTATTCATTATATTTCACATTCATTTTTATTAACAATTAACTAATAAAGCAATGCATAATTTATATAACTCTTAAACTAATTGCGTCATTAAAAAATAAAAGTATTGCGTGTAATTATATATAAGATCAACAAAAAGTAAAATACCTGGTATATTCTTCTTCCAATTGAGCAGGGTCAGGTGTATAAAATTTCACACAAAAACACATGATTGGATTAATCATTGACAAGCCCATTTGACGACAAATAGGTTTTTCATAATCTAACCAAAACTGGAAAGAATAATTAAAAGATTTGTAACCTTAAATCAAATCTTGTATAAATTCAAACATATATATAACAATATAAATTGACAAACATATATATAACAATAAGTTAATTTGTATAAAAAATTTCTAAGAATGAGAGGAGTTTAAAAATTTTCTTCTGATTTAAAAATTATAATTTATTTAGAAAAATCATTAATATGCTTTTAAACAAAGTTTCTAAAAATTCAAGTAGAAAACTTTTCAGATCAATATAGTTTAAACAGAAATATTTCAGCATAAAATGATTTAAGCATCTAATTAGATAATCATAAAGTTGTTAGACATTTTTCAATATCTTTTATGACATAGCATCATTCTTATTTTCTTCTACTCGGTATGAATCTTGGGCCACCTCGTTATTTACTCATTTGGAAACCTCCATGCCTTTAACATACTTAATTGCATTCATAAGAAGTGCACCCCCAAGCTCTTAGGTGCATTCATCCCCCCTCAAAAAAAAAATTTGCTAACTTCCCCCCTCGATGTTAGCTTCTTTTATTTATGTACTTAAAAAAAAAACTAATTCTCTCATCTAAATTCCCCCCCCCCCAAACGATTCATTTTATTTAGTGTAAAAATTCTCCCCCAAGCTTAAAGTGGGCGCATCGGCCCCTGTTTATAAGTTCATTTGCTGAAAGTTTTTTACTCCTTACGAATTTTTTATGCTTTGCTTCAGTGATCAAAATTTAACTTTTGAAACTCCTTGAATAAATTTTTTCTGCCTTTTCCTTTACCTAAATTTAACTTTGAATTTAAAATTTTACAAATTTTTTTCCTTTCCTGCACTTAAATTTTCCCCAAAAAGTATATTTTAGTGTCTTACGTAAACATTTCTCAAACATCTCCTCCCCTCTTATCAACAATAATAAGCAAATCATACTTAGATGCATACATATTATTTGAATAACTCCTATGAAAGAATAAATAAGATTAAAAAAAAGAGTGTGATAAATTAAAACTAACACACAAAACAACACAACTTAGCATGTCTCCCAAAAACATTTTCATTTAATGGGCTTGAGACAGTTTATAAAGTTCTAAAGAAAGATGTTGGCAACATAATAGCATCTAAGAAACATAATTTGATTATATATGTATGTACAAATGAAACATTAGCATAATTTTTCATACTTTTGTACCAGTGCAATCGACATATTCCAATCCAAAATAATCTGTTTCTAAGAGATTTAACATCTTGCAAACTTGATCAAATAACACTCTCCCCATGGCTTTAAACTGAAAAATTTATACCAAATAAAAATATATAGTTAGATATTTAATTAATTAATACATAGTTTAGTAGTTAAATTCATAAAAAATAAACTAATAATTCATTAAATAAAAGCATTGCATTAATATTTTGCCTCAGTAATTTATTGATGACAAATTTTTAATCAATTTAATTTACTCATTCAAGTTCAAATATATACTATACTACATACTACAATATACTTGCTTGGCATTTAATGGTTTCAATCAAGGTTTGCATTTTGTCCAGAACAAATGGAAGAAACTAAAGTTGACCAATTAGATCAACTAAAATGACTAGATTAACAGTAACTAATAATGGAATAGATAAAATTTAAAATTAAATTTAATGCAACACAATTTTCAATATATTATTCGCATTGGTGCATAATGAACATTGGCATATTACTAGCGTCAATATATCGTTCTGTAGTATGAGGCTAAGTATGAATAGGTAATAAAATAATTTGCATTAAAAAAGGGAAATATTATTAAAAAAGAAAATTACAAACCTTTTAAAATTAACCGTTATTTTTAAGAAAAAAAAACATATAATTATACCATAAATAAACATGAAATATTCATTCATCCAAATCGCTCAAAGCTGTCAAAATCAGAATTAAATAATTCTAATGTATTCAGATCCAAATTCAAATTACATTTTCTATTTTGTTTTTTTTCATCTGACAGAATAAGTTACAAAGTCAATAATATTTGTATATATGGAATCATTTTTTCTACAATGAGGCAGTATTGAAACCTTGCTAAAATCACAATTTACATTTGTCACAGTTTCGATTCTTACCCCATCCCATGTCTTTACTACCCAATCACACAGATCCACATAAGTCGACTGACAAACTTTTCCCGTCTTAGTGGAAGTATGTAAGTTCTTTAATGTCTTATACCACTTGTCAATACTAACAAGCCTACATTAAGACAGAGGGGTATCAGTCTTCTTGATTTCCAGCGACGCCATCTATGGCCAAGAATTTGAGTTCTGCCACACACATACGTCACAACCAGTTTTACAGGGAGGACGCATTCACAAACCATCCATCCACAGATCATAATTTTGATCTGAACCAGAGCACGATCAATCTTCATTCCAGTACCCCCAGATGTATTAAGTTGTTATAGCAGGGATGAGATTGGCCAAAAGGCAAAAAAGTTGAATTTCCACGCGAGTAAATTTTACGAGTGTGCAATTGTTTAATAATAAATTCCAGACAATTTAAGATAATAAATAACCATGTTTTGAAATAAAATTGTGTACTAATTTATTAATATATGAATGATTACATCGATACTTAACATTTAGTAAAAAGTAAAATTACCAATTGAAAAAATAAAACTAGAAATTATATTTTTCTTTAGTTCACATAAAGGAAACAATTATTACTTGAGAAACTAACTAGTTTAGCAATTAAAATTACTGAGAACATACATTAACAATCCATTTCTTTTAATAAATACTATTATGTGATTTATAACAAATATATCAGTAACATGACTTTTTAAATTATTTAGAAAAGAAAATAAACTTTTACAATTGGAATCACTATGTTTATATTATAATCTAATCTAGCTAGAGCCCTTTGAAACATAACAATAACTGTGAAGTAGAAACACATAGTAGATCCTTAACATACAAAAATTACTATTTTAGTTTGAAAAATTACATGATAATCAGTAACTGGTTACATAATTACTTTTGATTTGATATAAAATTTTGCATTTTAGAGCATAAATAACAGCAATATTATTTTTAAAATTTTGGATTTTGGTGCTGAGTTAATTAACTCGTTTTTCAAAAAAAAATTTAATCACTTTTTAGGTGATTGCTTTTGTTTGCCGTATCTTTATGTTAGATATTTAAAAAAAAAAATTTTTTTAATTTCCTATTGCTACACAATGCTTTGTGTTTCACAAAACAATTTAATATTTTTGGTAAGTCTACATTCTAGTACATGCAGCTCAGCATCAATTGAAAAAATATTTAAGAATTTAGGTCTTGTTCACTCAAAAGTGAAAAATAAACTTGTTATACAGAGGCAGGGCCGGATTTAAGCTTGGTGGGGCCCTAAGCTACTGAAAATGATGGTGACCTTATAAGTTCAATTCCATTTCTGTACACCTAAAGTAAACTGTCATTATTTTTTATTGTTGAGTATTAGCATTATATTATTAAAAAATTTGATAATATAACTTGATTGTTAAATATATTGATCGTGATGAGACTATAATGTAGAACCTTTCTTTTATTTCACATATTTTTCAAATGAGGGAAAAAAGTTAGAACAGAAATACATTTTAAGAACTGAGTAAAAATTTGGCATGCTGGAAGGGCCACTATATATTTAACAGAGCTTTTTTTTAAAATTCATTTTGAATATAATTTATTTGCAATTTTTAATGATTTTTTGCCAATTTTTTTCACAATTGTTTTTCTTTACGTTACATTTTGCTTTGCGGCACAAAATCTATAAGATTTAGAAACATGAAATTTTGAATGTGTGTAGAAAATATGCAAAGAGTTAGAAAGAAAACATGAAAATACAATTTGATTATTAGTTTTATTTTTTTTTATAACCCCCGTTGAACAACCGACTCAATTTTGAGTTAACGACTATCGTAGCCTTGTAATTTTGAACTCAATCCAGAAGACAAGGGAATTGCTTTATCAGTACCCAGATGTATTTATTTGTTATGAGAACTTGGAGAACTTTGTGACCCTGACAGATTTAACATGCACCAGTCACCATTTTATACATGGGTATTCTTCTGCTGGCTGGATTCAAGCTCCTATTCTCACGAACATGAGTCCAACTCCCTATCAACCAGGCTATCCCAGCCAAATTTATTAGTTTATTTAATAACAATCATTGCACAGCTGACCCAATTTCGAGTTTACCACTACTAATATTCAACACCGTAGCCTTGTCATTTTGAACCCAATCCAGCAGTCCCTACAACCTGGATTCGGTGAGGGCCGTTATAATAATACTGTATGTAAAAATAAAAAATAATAAAAAGAACATTTCGTAAGCTGATATTATTTAATTGATGTTTATATTAAAAATATTTCTTCATTATTTTTGCTTTCTTTTTAATTGTTTTAAGTACAATTGTTAAATTTTAGTGCAAGATTGTCATTATTTATGTAAATTTTTGGCTTATATTTTTAAGGATTTTTTAAAGGGTCTATTAAATATCAGAGAGAATAAATATGATACGGGTTTCGGACATCCAGCCAAAATCAGCATTCAACATATCAATGGAACACACTATAGCTTCATATCAATTAGTTTTAGATAATTACAATTGTAGAATAATTATTTTATTATAGAATGAAATGTTTTAAAAGATAAATATCTGTTAATGCTTAATATTTAATCAACGAAAAAACAGAACCATTTTTGAAATCTAACGAATTTATTATTTTTAATTACTGATAAATTTTGTGACAGAAAAAAAATTAAAGCCTGATAGATTTCAAAATTTTAGAAACACCTTCTAGTTTTACTATTCAATCAAATAGGCTTCGATGTCTTTCATCTCGCCTGTCTCATTAGTGATTCAACATATTTCAATTTCATTTTTGTTTCGTTCTTACTTAATATTAATTTTTCTGCGACAGTTAATTTGTATACTTTTTTACTACATTTTTCGAAGAGTTTAAAAATATGACATTAAGGATTTTAACTGAAATGAAATTTGCTTTTTCTGCATGCATCTTTTATTACGTCATCATCACACCAATACGAAGCTGTCTGCTCTAAATAGTGCTATATAAAATGAGATAGCAGAACAAACGTTTTTAGTTATTTAAATTCATATTCAAAAGTATTAGTTAATTGTTTTTTGAATTGACAATTTAGTAATTTTTTTAGATATTCTTAAGTGCCATTTAAAACTGCTGCATATCACATGAAAGCAAGAAATATATCATTTGTAAAATTTTAAGGTAAAATGAAAGGGAATTCTGATCCTCAGATACAGATATTAAATAGTCTGAAAATCGAATGAAGGGGCAAAAAGAACTTTTTTACCTTTTAAACTAAAAAAATTTTTATTTATAAATAATTTATTAATACTGAAATTGCTTGAAAGATGATATGTTCCCTTCTAATGACAACGAAGTTTTTTGTATTATCAGTTATTTATTTATGTTTTTTTAATTTATTTTTTATTTGTTTTTATTTTATTAAATTACATGCACACGTTTAAAATTAAAACAAAGTTGTCAAAATGTCATAAATAGTTTCGATTTAAAATTTTAAGAAGTTGTTTCGACTTTGATTTAAAAATTTAAAAGCCATATTAACTTTAAACACATAATAACAACAAAAATCAAGGAATTAAAAATAGAAACAAGTATGATCAATAAACAATAAAATCATTAGCTAACTAAATAAAAGAAATTTTCTGTACGAATATTACAAAATAAACATATTTCATATTTAAGGGAAACATGAAAAATTTGGTCATACAGGAGGTTTGAACAATTATTTTTTTTTCTTTTCCTTTTTCTTACTTAAGCATTTGTTTCGGTCATGATCACTCGATTTCAATGCTCTATCAAGCAAAATCACATGTTGTTTCTGTCTATTAGCAGTAAGTATAATTAAAATATAATAACATCTGTTACCTCACTTTCATCCATAATAGACCAAATCAAGAATTTTGGCAGCTTGGTCTGTCAAAAATCATAAAATATTAAAAAAGAACTAAATAAATAAATAAAAAAGATAGATTTCTCTCCATATAGTTCAAATTACTGAATCAATCTTACTATTCATTTTAACAATGTTGCTTCAAATTTCTTACTTTTCATTAGTAAATAACTATTAGATTTGATGTTTCTTTAAACAAAATTATCACAATTTTTAGACACTTATATATTGCTTTGTTGGTTCTTTAAATACTCATCCATCAGAATAAAGTGGGTCAAGTCAAATTACCTTTTAGTAAGGAGGTTTGACAGAGCTCTTTAGCCCTTAAAAAATTATTTTTATAAAACATATTTTTTAATTTTACTAAGTTTCTAATTCAAGTAAAAAATATTGATGTAAACAGGGGGCAAATATTATAAGCTATTAAATAATTAATAATTTGAAATTTATTACGCTTAAAAATGTATAAATAAAAAACGGTGCAAACCTTCCATGTTTTCCCTAACCACAACCAAAGTTGATTTAATAAAAACATTTTCTTACCTCCAAAAGAGAAAAATTTATCTATTCTTAAATATCCTACGAAAATTTGGATTTAGAAGTTTGTAGTTCACGGGATCATGTACCATTAATTTGGAAAATAAAATAAAATCCATTACAACAATTAAGTAAATTAAACAATTACGCTAGTTGAAACATTTAAGATAGTTAAAAGAAGAAAAAGCTTCTATAATAAATTAGAAAAAATAACTAAATTTTGTAAAAAAGAAAAATTAGAATTGAAGGAGGATCACTTTAACGACAATGTGAGCAAAAGAAATCTCAAGACAGGGTGTCCCCAAAGAAATACTAACAAGACTCTCTCCTTATTTACAGCCCTAGAAATTTGTTGTTCCAAGCAATTTATGATCAGAAATCAGACAAAACTGTGTTTCTGTGGATATCTGATATTTCTGTGGATATCTGTGATAAGTAAGGACAAAAGAGTCATAGGCAATTTAAAGAAGCTAAAATTATTTTCCCTCCGTGTAAAGTGAGACAGCTATTTAACAACTCCGTGGGTGGCAGGTACTAAAGCGGGTATATTTTCACCAGTCAAAAGACCGTTTTATTCCTCTTTTGGTTAGAAAAGTGAAGAGTAACAATTATTCTATGTTTGTAAATACTTCGATTAGATTTAGATTTTAGAAAAGAGGGGGGAAAGTAGGATCTGGGGGCCCTGGTCATCTCGGGGGCCCCAAGCTACAGCTTATTTAGCTTATACGTAAATCCGGCCTTGTACAGAGGGCATCAAAACTATTATTTTATAATCACATGCTTTGGGGAATGAAGGAGTTAAAATGGGAATAAATAAAAATTGGTTTTAAACATAATGCAAAAAGTGATGTGTTTTTTTAAGATGATTGTTTTCGTATTTTTATTTCGATAATTAGACAAATTAACAGATAAGATAAATAGCAATTTAACACATATTTATTTATAATTTCTTAATATTCACAACAGATTATGATTTTCTACACCAAAATTTCAGGGTTTGGAAAGTAATGTTAAACAAAAAAAAAAGGTGTAATGTTAAAAATGATTAAAAAACATAATTTAATTGTAAACTTTCATTTTATATGTACAGTAGAGAACCAATTATCCGGGATGCTCGGGACAATCGCTATCCCGGATATCTGAATTTCCCGGTTTTCTGGATCGACCAAAAAGTGTCGTTAATCGATGTTTTATCGAACCCGAAGTACAAGGAAAAAGTGTAATGCATAAAGTAAGAGAAAAAAGAAAGGTACTCCTAACTTTAAAAAGAAAAAAAAATGGTAGAAATATAACATTTAAAAGAATAAAAAAATTTGCAAGTTTAGACAAGAAAATCAAGTTTAAAAAATACAAAATTCTCATATTTATTTTTTAAAAATAATTACAATTCCTAAATTAAATAATATAAACAAAACCAATGATTAAATAACGCAATATATTTCATACCTAATTATACGGGGGGAAACGATAAAATAAAAGGAAAACTTATTAATCTAAATAAAAACACTTGAAAATTATCGAACCGAAACGATAGTTAAAAAAGGCACTAGCATAAATATTAAAACCCGGAACAAGGCAAGATCAACGGAATTTAAAAAAAAAAACCTAATGATAAAATTTATGAATAAAAAGAATTAATTTATTGAGTGCGAAATTTATCGCGAAAAGAAAAAAAATCAAACGTAGTGGAATCAGAAAAACAAAACTGCAATCTGCTTCATAAAATAATCCTATGTTTAAATTAATAAACAATTCTCCTTTTATTTTATTTTTTTTTTTTGATAAAAACAAGATTTTTAATTACAGCAGATGTGATTCCACACCAAGAAAAACTTGCAATTGATACCGCACTTCCAAAGAATGAGAATTTATTCAAAAGAAAAAGATTTTATTTTTATTAGTCGATGTCAAATAAATATATTTTTCTCTTTTCTTTATCTGTTCACTGATATGCATGCAATGCATTTTCCCCACTCCCCTCGTAAATCAAGCAGAAAACGAAATCAGCATGCCACACCCTTGAGTTTGATTGACGGCCTAAAGGAAAAAATAAAACATTCCTCCCTTCCCTGCCATCAAGGTCACGGAGGAAATGACGTTTCTCTGGGTAAACAGGGGGAAAAAATTTCCCCTTCCTTACATTTTCCTCTACTCAACTTCAAGGATGAGTCTAATTTCCGCTTTTTTCGTCCTAGTTTAAAATGGCGGGAAAATCGAACAAAGTTTTTCCCGGTTATCTGGATACCGGATAAATGGTTCTCTACTGTACTTTTTTTTTTACAATTCTAATAATAATTTTTTACACCAAAATTTTAGGTCTTTGAAAATTGTCAATAACTATGCCAAAAATGGATTTTTGACCTGAAGGGTAAAACCTTGGTTAAAATCGGATAAAAGCAGCAATTGTCAAAAACTTGTCAATCTGGAAAGTAGGAATAGAAATTATAAGTGCTTGTATGCAGAAGTATTAACTATATCAATATTAACATGAACTGTGTCATCAAATCATCACTTTACCCACTATATTACAATTTGTATCTAGGGGATTTTAAAAGCATAACTGAGATTTAATACTTCATAGTTATTACATCAAATGCATCTTCTCCAATCATGAGTCTTTTTCTTGTGCACTTTTAGGATACACATTTAAGTTTGTGACACAATATCATTATGAAAATGTAAGTCAATAACTTTTTAATTCATTGCTTCACTACAACATGCAGTGGCGCTAACGTACTTAAGGACGTCTTTATGGAAAGTAAAATCCAAAACTTATTGTTCATGCATAAGTTTTTTGAATTGATAATTATGTATTGGAACAAATAACTTATTTTTAATATATTTTCACAATTAAAATCATTTATCTAACTGTTATACTTAAATTATGTAACATTTTAGAAAAAATATGCATTCCGCATACTTAAGGACAACAAAATAAATATTTCTTAATCGTTAATAAAATTAATAACAATGTAAAAAATGTAACAAAAAATAAAGATTTGGAGCTAGTATTTAGTCAGTAAGCCTTTTGGGGCAATTACTGCTTCACATCTACGAGGCATCGAATCTACTAATCTTTGATATCGCTCAGGAGGTATAGCTGCCCAGCCTTCTTCGACACACTTCCATAAATCACCTAAATTTTTTGGTTTTTGCTATTTCACATATTTATCCACAGCATCTCGAAAGGGTTGAGATCTGGTGATTGGGAAGGCCACTGCAAAACCTTAATTTTCTTGCTTGACAAGAAGGCCTTCGCAGTTTTGCTCATGTGTTTTGGATCATTATCGGCTTGCATGATTGGTTTTCTTGAGCGAAGTTTCCTGTAATAAGGCAGAAAAACAGTCTTGATAATGTCCACATACACATGCTGATCCATGATGCCTTCGATTTTGTGAATTGGACCACATCCTGAACGTGTAATGGCAACCTGCTCAATCACCAAGTCAATCCACCTTTTACAGTTGATTTTGTACACCGTACATTAAATTCTTCACCGACTCGACGCCTCACATAACTTTTGCCATCTGAGCCCATTCTGTTGAACTTCGATTCGTCTGTAAATATAACTCGATTCCAGCCAGCCGATGTCCAGTTTCGGTGTCTTTTTGCAAAAGCTAATCGAGCTGCTATATTCTTCTTTGACATCAACGGTTTTTTCCTACATAAGCCAAAACTCATTTAAAAGCCGTTTGATGGTATTATGGCTTACGTGCTTGCCTGTTAATTCAGCGAATTCTTTTCTGATGTCCGGGGCGGTTTTGTGACGATCAGCTTCAGAAATTCGATGAATAATTCGATCTTCTCGTTCGGTAGTTTTGCGAGGACGTGGTTTTCGGGATGCTTTTTCAATACTTTTGGTCACTTGAATAGATTTCAATACTGGGAAAACTGCTGTTTTTGATAATTTTAACTGCCCACCAATTTCTCTAAAGCTTAAACCTTCTTTTCTCAGAGTATCCCTTCGACATCTCTGTTCATTGCTAACATTTTTACCTTTACTCATAATAATGTTGAATTTTGTACTAAAAAAATTTAGAAAAATATTAATATAATGTTTTAAAGCATCAGCCAAAGATAATGTAGTAAATTACACTTACATTGATCGATAAATTGATTGTAATCATTCAGTAACTCATGATTAGACAAACTGTCCTTAAGTATAAGAAATTTAACAAAATGTATTTTCTAAATAAACTTTTATGAAACACTTGTGAACACGAATGAATTATTTGAGGATTGAAGTTCAACTAAGGTAGAATTCGTCATTATAGATATCTTGATCGAAACATAATATAATGATCCAATATAATGACGCATTTATTTTGAAAACACGGTCCTTAAGTACGTGAGCGCCACTGTATCATAAATCTCTAATAATTTGAAAGCAATACGATAGACAAATGATATTTATTTTATACAGTTCTTTTGATATTTTTCCAATTTCCATATTCAGAAGATTTACAAATGTCATATATGTTATTAGTTAGAGTATCTCGATTTTTCAATTTGCACGATTCAGATTAGCAGGGCAGGGTTTTTAAACTTTGCTAAAAGTTAAACAATTTCAATTTCTTATGTATATTTTGCCTTCGACCTAATGTAAAATTGGAACATGCTTTCCAACAAAGCGGAGGGAAAAATTTTGAGCGTTTTTCATAGGCAATCAGATTAAAAAACATTTGATACATTTGTTTATACCTGAATGTTAAAAGAAGCACAAGAATCATCAAGGAAATGAACTTGAACTGGAAGCCTTTTACCAACATTTCTGTTTTCAGGTGACGATGGAATTGGATACATGCCACTGGGACTGCTGTGAGAGTGGGGAAGGGAAGCCCCACCACCACCATGAAAGGACATTTCAAATATTTTTCAAAACTTCATGATGTTGCATTTTAAACCTGAAGCAATTTAAAAAAATTAATAGTATAGTTATAAACAAGAAAATTAGTGTATGCCATGCCTACTATGCAACATACAAAATATTAATGCATTTGATTTTTTTTAATTTGAACTCAAACTGAAACATCAAAATATTCAAATTCACCAAAATGCAATTTACAAAAAATAGGCAAAATTAAAAAAAAAAAAAAAAAAAAAAAAAAAAAAAAAAAAAAAAAAANAAAAAAAAAAAAAACATAATAAAAATTCAATTTAATTTTAATTGCAAATTTGACCAGGGTTGGATTCAACAAATTTTCAATTCAAGCAAAATTTGATTTTCAGGGATGATTTTAACTTCATGTAAAAATACTTGAAATTCTAGCACGAAAAAAGACCAGGCGTACTTTTATTGATTGTAGTCTGTTTCTGCTTTTAAAAAAAAAAAAAATTTAATTTCATAAAAGAAAAAATTACATATTTCTTTTCAAGTCCATTTCACGAAATTTTAATACTTACATATTTAAGAAATAATTAAATAAATTTCTAAAAATGATGAGTTGTTTTATTTAAGAAATAAAAGTAATAATCCATAAAATTAAGAGATTTCATTCCTTGGAACAGATTTGGATCATTCTTAAATAATAGAAACAGATAGAAATAGCTTCAGGAAAATAATATAAAAATTTTTAGTGTTATTAGCGTTTAATTATCTATGGAAACATTGAATTTAAATGCTATAATGCTTTCTGAACCATATGTATGCTAGTAACAAAATTGAACTTTTTTTTCTTCTTTTTATCCATTAAATTAATATTGTTTATATGTATCACAATGTTCGATTTTAAGAATGGGTATATACTAAATTACAATTTTTGAGCCTGTTAAAAATTCATTAAAATTCCCATTATTCTTTTATGATTCTTCATGGAATACAATTGTTTCACTATACTTATGCAATTGTTGTTAATCCAAAATTTTGCTTAAGCACCCTAATGTTATTTGCTCTTATTTTACATATAAGTAACAATCATAAATGCAATTGACTTTTCAGTGATAATTGTTTTATCCTTCCCTTAGAAGTCAGACCTTCGATTTCTCAATCCAGAAATTATCAGAATAAATTTGATTAGATAGTTTCGCTTTAATGTGAAGAAAAAAAATTTTCAATTTGTAATTTCTTTTTTAAAAAAATTTTTCATACATAGAAAATTATTTCTATCCCATTAAATGAATCAATTTTAGATAATTGTTGATAATTTTTATAAACAAAAATTACAATTTAAGAAAAAAATGTTTTTTATCTAATAAATGTTATTAATAGCAACATAGTTGAATAAAATAAATCTTAATATTACGGGGGAATATTCCTGCTTTTTAATAAAAATGAAAAATCCCTCATTCTTTCCCATGCAAGTCCTAATCACAGTAAAAAAAAATTTTTAATAACCTGAAATCTATGGCTTAGAGCCTCTAAAACCCTAATGACAAATACCTTGCCAATCCTACATTAATTCCTGACAATCACAATGAATTTTTCCTAGTTTTAAATAATATTTGTGAACCAGATTAAATTTAATGAGAAATGACTGAAACAATAAGAAATCAGTTATAATAAGAAAAAATACACACATAAATAATACACAAAATACACAATAAAATAACCAGAAGCTTTCTAAGTTAGACTGTTACAATTTGCATATAATATTAAAACGTGCTAACCTTATTCTCATTTTGTTATATTTGATATATAACTTGCTGGTACAAGCATTTCAAAGCAAGTGTTACTTTTCTAAAATAATCAAAAATATAACAGAAAACAAATTTACATAGGTGGTGCAAAATATATTATCCATAGTAATTTAGAACCTACTTTGTTATAAAATATATAATGGCTAGGAAAATAATTTTGATAAGAGGGGAAACAATCCAAAATAATTAATCTATTGCAAAAGTAAAAGATCTTAAATAAAACAATTTTTTGTTACAAAATTACTTTGTAAGAAACCTGAACTAGAAGTTTTTCAACGATTTCTCCTGGGTGAAACTCATGATAATATTCAATAATTCATTAAGCTCGCTCACCTAAATGAAGTTTTCTTGCAAAACTTACGACACTCACACTTTAGAAACATTATGCTAACTCATTAGAGACGAATGTAATTTAAAAATCAAAAGTGACAATATCAAAGCCATGTATCACACATTAATTATAATTTCTAATACTTTAATATAGCATGCGTTTGTTGATATCTTTTTCACAAACTTTAAAAGATTGCAAACATCACTTTAAAAAAAGCAACAAGTGAAGATCTTGATTTTCGAACATGAAATAATTTACGGATTCATTTCTCTCCTCGGCAAACACTTCCACAGATGTACATTTAACTTAGGGATAACGAAACGCAAATTCAAGAGCGACTACTTTCGGTTTAAATAACATCAAAACATCATTCTATCAGTACCATCGAGAATCAGCACCCTCTATAAAAAGAACAGTGTTCAGTCACAGATATTCGCATTTGATAACTGTTACCAAAGTACTAGGGACTGCAGAAAAAAGGCGGGATCCTGTACAATGCATATGGGACACAGGCACGTAGCGTCACAAACTTTAGGTACAATCAATTGGGTGATAAACTCCATAATGAATTATTCTTACAGCATTTGGTTAATGCGAATTCGATAGAAATCGAATTAAAAAGATGATTAAACAGGCGAGTTTTCGGGAGGAGAATATATTACACCAATCAGGGCTTAAGTCTTCTTCGACGGTGTTTGGTTGGTACTTTATTTCCGTCACATTCGAGTTGTACAATGAGCTATCGGCGACTGTCTAAAAAGCATCTCTGGATGGTGTTTAGTACACTACAAGCTCCATACCGTCTGTACTTCCGGGTTACTGTTTCTGGTGTATTTTAAAATCATTTGGCTCACATTGCGTTTTGAGATTTTTTCAAACGTGGTATTTGATTACTTATTACTTGTGTTTACAATGCTAAAGGTGCTGACACTAACGTAAGATGGTGCACAGCTTGTAACTAGAACAAACAGTAAAAAACAAATGGAAAGAGGCCAAATCAGGACTGCCAAAAAAAGGGAGTTTTTCAAAATCTGGCAGCCCTGTCACCTTTTTTTTAACAATGGATGGTGTTTTCTACACTAGGGAACGTTGCAAGCTCTGTAATGCCTAAATTTCCGGGTTACTGTTTCCGTTGTATTTTAAAGCCATTTGGCATCATTGTGTTTTGAGATTCTTGCAAACAATGTATTTGATTACTTATTACTAGTGTTTACAATGCTAACAATACTAGTGTTTACAATGCTAAAAGTGTTAACACTAACGTAAAATGGTGCACAGCTCGCAACAAGAACAAACAGTAATAAACTTATGGAAAGAGGCCATATCAAGACTGCCAAAAAAGCGAGTTATTCAAAATCTAGCAACCATGTCACCTTTTTTAACAATATATCTCTAAAAAACTAAAACAAATTTTCACTTCAAACTCACCAGAATTACATATTAACATTAATATCTTATGAAATATGACAGATTTGAGCTCAGAAATTATCTAATTTATTTCTTTTATTGAAAGCAAAATTATCCGTTTGAAAACATCGCCTATCAGAATAACATGTAGTAAGCAGCTGCAAACTTTTTAACCGGAACGAGAGTAGGCGCCGAGCTCGAGATCGTTTACATTTCTATTGAAAACACCATCCATATATCTATTAATAACTCAAACAAATTTTCACTTCAAACTCACCAGAATTACTTAATAACAATAACATCTTATGAAATGCTGCAGATTTGAGCTCAGAAATTATCTAATTTACTTCTTTTATTGAAAACAAAATAATCCATTTGAAAATATCGTCTCTCAGAATAAGCTGTTGAAAGCAGTTGCAAAAATTCTAACCGGAACTTGAGCAGGTATTGAGCTCTAGATTGTTATTGTTTACATTTATATTGAAAACACCATCTCTAAGGAAAATCATAAGACAATAGGAGATCGCAACGCTGGAATACGCCCAGGAGCTCTAAACTGGTAACCATCGAACGAGCTAGGGATAGAAAAATGGCGTAATTTTGACTTCCCGTTTTACTCCTAGGGAAAACCTGTAACCTAGAGCTTTCGAACGGATTTTGCTAACTGGCTGCGATCTTCACCGTTCCTCCCATCTATCAGATGTCTTTCACCTAACAATTTGCTAGTAAAAGCGATTCGAATGTTCAAATAGGATGCGTGTAACGCTGGGATTAAATTAGATTTCCGATTTCAAAGATATTTTTTATCCAGATATTTTACGATTTTTTTATAATCATTTACCTAGATATTTTATTAATATATTTCAGACGTAATTTTTCTCTCACAAATTTATTATTTCGTGTAATAAATCGATTAAATAATTTGTTTCTTGCAGAACTTATAATAAAATCTACAATAATCTTGCACAACTTTAAATAAAACGAGAAAATTTCTTTATTCCAAATTTTTATGTATTCTTAACCAAAATACGTTTAGTATAATTATTGCCGTGTTTTTAGTAACTTTTATTTTAACTACGTTGTAATATTTTCAAATCATTTGGAGAAAAAAATGCATCATAGATTAAAGAAAACCTCGTTTTTTAGTAAAATTTTGCAATTTTTTCTTTAAAAAAAATTGGTGAATTATAGCTGAGATTAGTACATAATAAATAGATTAGATTACTATAACTAAATCTATAATATATAACTAAATCTATAATATATAACTAAATCTATAATATATAACTAAATATGTAATAATAATATAAATAATAATTACTATAAATTGCATACTTATTTTTCATCCGCTGAACTTCTATTAGAGATTTGCTTCTATTAGAGATTTGAAGGAACGGAAGATTTTTCGATATAATCGTTGTAGAATTATTATAAAATTGCAGATAAATTTAGATGCATAATTAAGAAACCTTTTTATTATTTTTTTATTTTTCTGTTCATCTTTGAAAATGCGAAATTTCCCCTTTTATTTTCTAAGACAAAAAGATATTTTTACTTTTATATCCATAATACCATATCTGTGATACCATGTCTATAATACCATATATATTTGACAACTTATTTCTTGAAAAATTTTGTATTATTTTAGGAATAAAATTGGTTAAGATTAAGATTAAAAAATTTCTAAAATCACATTTTTTAAATTTTTTTTTGTTAGAAATAGCATTAAAAAAGTAATAGAATAGGAAAAATGTTTTAGTTATTTCTCAGTCTTCTGTTTCACATTTGACCTTTTTAGAATACTTACTCTTTAATAAATTGATAAACAAATTTTAGGGTGAAAAAAAACTTAAGCATAAATTTCTTTTCTGTTTTGAGATTCTCCATTGAATATCAGCTAAATTATTCTAAAGATATTCAGTTATATTCATTTATTATTATTAAACTATAATTATTTGTTTTTATTGAAATAATACTTCAGATTATCTTAATGTATGCGATTAATTCTACTTCAAAAAGATTTTAACGAATTTATGCGACGAGTAAAAAAAGAGAATTTCTTTTGAATTACTTTTTATAATTCATTTGTATACAGAATGGTAAATTATAAGAAAAAATATCCTGCGCCAATCAGAAAAATAATTGAAAGAATTTTGTTATTGAAAATGTGTGCAATGAAAACTAATTGATATTTGCATCGTGTTAAACTACTAACACGAATTTGTAATAAAGTAATATCACGAATAATCCTTATGACTAGACCGACAGAAATGAAATTGTGTAACTAAAAGTTCTAACTCCTAAAAGTTCTGACAAAGCTTTTACGACTTGGCATCCTTGTCTTCTGAGTTAGATTCAATATAAGAGCGTAATAAAATGTCCAGAATATTAAGAAAGGAAACTTTTTCAATAAAATTGTTTTTGAATTATTACAAAAATGCTGATAAATTTAGATGCATAGTAAAGAAACCTTTTTTTTATTATTTATTTCCTTAATTTTACTACCCCTTTAATTTTTTCAATTCTAAATATTCCAAGAAAAAATTATTTGTATTTCCGGTCTTATAACTATAATATCGAATTATACTCGAAATTTTTTTTTAAAATTATGTAATATTTTAAGAATAAAATTTGTTAAAATGAACATTAAAAAACTTCTAAAATCACGTTGTTTTAAAAAATTTTTTAGAAATTGTTCTAAAAAAATGCTTGACTGAAGAAAACTTTTAGTTATATCTTAAACTGCTGTTTGACATTTGAACTTTTGAAAATATTTATTGTTAGTATTACAAATTTTAGGGAGAAAAAAAATCAAGCATAATTTTTTTCTCTGTTTTGACATTTTTTTCACTATTAGCTAGGTATTAATAACTAGCTAAGTATTATTAATTTTTAAGTATTAACTAATATATTCTGTTTTATTCATTGATCATTATTATACTAGTGTTTTTTTGGTATTATTCAAATAATATTTTAAGTTATCCTGATTGATGCAATTAATTCTAATTCAAAAAGTATTTTCCAAATTTATGAGACACTTGAAAGAAATATTTTTCCGAATGACTTTTTCATAATTTACCTGCATACACAATGGTGAATGATAAGGCAAAAAATAAAATCCAGTATCAAATATAAAAACAATTAAGGATATTTTGAAATTGAAAATTTGTTTAATTGAAAGTATTGAAAATATTTGTAATGAATTAAACTTCAAACATGAATTTGTGATATAAAAATAAATCACGAATTTCCCTTATGGCTGGAACGACAAAGTGAAATTGCGCAACCAGAAATTCTAGTATGAAATTCTAAATAAAGTACTACTACTTAACATCCTTGTCTTCTAAGTTGGGTTTAATGTAAGAAGGGTAATAAGGCAAAAAATTGATTGCAGAGAATTTTTTTGCAAATCTAGTTCAATATAATACAACGATTGAAAATACCATTTTCTAAAAAGAGATAATTTATTAAATTTGAAAAAAAAATATATTGCATTGTTGTGTTGCGAATTGCATTTTTTTATAAAAAATATTATAAAAAAGAAGAAAATAGTGTGTTTTTGAAAAACTATTAGCATACAATATTGTTTACTAAAATATATAAGTTTGCAATTGCAAAAAAAAGAAAAGTCATAACAAAAAAGAAAGAGAAAAATTCAAAAGCATTTTTTTAAAAATTATAATGCAATTTTTTTTCAGATTATTTAAACTAACAATTATTTAAAAAAATGCTAGTTTCAATGCTATTTCTATTCATTAAAGCTTATTTATTACATGTTATTTTGATACTTATTGTACCTTTAAAAATAAAAGATTTCAGTGGTATAAAGCTATGCATTTTATCAATTGCAAATATAAAATAAAATAATTATAAATAATAAAAAGTAATAAAATAATCATAAATATAGTAAAATTTTTATAAATAATAAAATAAATAAAAATAGAAAGATGCAAAATTTTGTCAAATTACAAAATTTTGTCTAAAAGCTCTCGATAATACATATATAATTTCTAAAGTTTCATAATCTAGTGATGAAATTTCTGATTGAATCGATTACACCTATTTAAAGAAACATTCAAAGTATGATTTTTAGAAACGGTAATAAATAAAGATGTATTTGATTTGTAATCTGATGTTATTTTTTATTTTAAGAATATTTCTTTTTTTCGCAAACTGGTTAGTAAACATAGTTATAAGTGAATCGATTCTCTTATAATAAATACAATAATGCAAACAAGTTTAAAACAAATACTGCATATTTTATTCTTGAATAAAGATCGAAGATTAAAATAAATAGATATTTATTTTAGACTACGTAATGGTCAAAATGAAAGAAGAATGCATTCCCTTTCAAAAACAAAGCTGCGAACTCTGTGACAGAGGTCACGACCCTCAAGCGAAGGGAGAACGATTAAGGGATAAACAAAAGCCATTGGTCACTTTCTTAAAACTATCAACACACAATGTCACTTCCTAGAGGGAGGGTTCAAATCTTTGTTCAAGGGCTGGGATTCCCTTCACTGCTGTTTTCGGGGGTTGCGAGTTTAGGATTTTGTTTTATTATCGGACGGAAGCATAGAATAGACTAGATAGGAATAGTGACGTCACCGTCCGCGTTCGAAGGCTGCGAGTTTAGGGGTTCATTTGGGGAGAAACCAGTTTCATGCCATTGGCCCTTCACCCTTTCCTCTCCTCCTCTTTTTAGTTGTATAGGAATGTACTACGATATTTTCCCTTTTCTTAATATTTTTCCTTTTTATTTAATAAAAATATTTTTTAAATTTATGATACTTTCCTTTAGAACTGTGTTTAATGTAATTTTTATTTCCATATATTTTTAAGAATTAAAAGATCTTAATCTGCATGAAAATCAAGACAGAAACTAACGTACTTCCTTCCTCTACGACTCTCCCCAAGATAATGGTGAAAGCATACGAAGTGTTGCCATAGTTAGAGAGTTCTGCTCTACACCACCTGCAGTCCATTTCGATCACCAATTTCTCATAATTTTGATCTTCTGAAAAAAGGATGGCTCCACCTCTTTAGTAGCCAGACAACCAGTTCAAGAAGTCGAGCACTTTATGGTAGAGCAATTTAGCGAGGACCGATACCCTATACCTTTGGTCCTTAAGCAGGTTAATCAAAGTAGTCACTCATCGCTTACTGACAGTACTGTCGAGTCTCGTACTGCCTAGTGCACTACAACAAGACTCGACGACATTCGGATTTGTAAGAATCAGAGGATGGCCTTAAGGAGCATTCACACAGTATGCGATTACTAAGAACGGGTGCATTAACGTTTAAAAACTACATGAAAGATGAACTGCTTAAACAAGCATGAATTGCATTGACGTTCGATTGCAGATACGAATCTTATGGATGGTGTTTTCAATATAAATGTAAACAATAACAATCTTGAGCTCAATACCTGTTTTAGTTCCGGATAGAAAGTTTGCAACTGCTTACTACAGCTTATTCTGCGAGGTGATATTTTCAAACAGATAATTTTGTTTTCAGTAATAATTAATCAAATACCACTTTTGAAAGGATCTCAAAACACAATGATCACGTTGTGAGCCAAATAGCTTTAAAATACTCCAGAAACAGTAATCCGGAAGTATAGGCGGTATGGAGCTCGCAGCGTTCCCCAGTGTAGAAAACACCATCTGTAATTCCCTATCTTAAAATATTTTAATTTATTTGAAAATTAGGACAGAAACTAACATACGTCCTTCTTCTGTGACTCTTCACACTCATATAGTGAAATCATGTAAAGTGTTACAATTGGTAGAGAGTGTGTTGTTGTGTATTATTTCAGTACATATTAAATAAATGAGCAGGATCTAGCATCTCGCAAACACATTTAATAACAACTTTTCGAGATACACAAACACAAAACTGAAACTAAACATAAATACAAACTGAAACTAAAACTAAACAGTTAACACACAGTTACAGTTAATCTGGCTGATGCCACAGAGAGTTCTGCTCAATCGAAAGTAGTAACCCGGAAGTCTATGACGAATTTTAACCCTTAGCGCCATCTGTGCTTAGCTTTACACGCTCAACCATCCAGGCTGCCAAGACTTGGTGATTACTCTGCCACGGTACAGAAATATTCCGAACCTTTTAATCAAGACAAGATACAGCATTAATCTTCTAAAACTTTTAATCAGGACACGATTAATATTTTTTCTGTTAATATCCTGCTAAATATTGAAAAAGAAGGAGAAAAACAATAGTCTAGAAAAAATAAACGCATAGGAAAAATAAAATTATTACACTAGTGAAGAATCTAAAACTTTAGGGTGAAAATAAAGAAATTAATTTATCAAGATGTAATGTCACTCCCAGTTCACTAAAAGTCCTTTTTTTCATACAAATGATTGTTTAAAATTCCGTGTCAAATTGAGTAGTATCAATTGTAAAAAGTGATACAAATAAGAAGTACCTGACCAGAAAATGTTATGGTGAGAATTGAACCCCCTACCGCTACTCAGCATATCTTTTGATTAAAAAATAATATCCTTCGGTTTTGTGAGCTGCTACAACACATCAATGGGAAAAATAATAATTTCTTATTTAAAATCATATATTTTAACTGGTGCCGGTTAACCAAACCAGTGTCGGTGTTAAAACTTTCTTTTACATAGTACTTTAAAGAGTTAGAACAGAGTATTACTAACACCAGATTAATTGTATTTTTGTTACTTTTTTTTAAAATAGAAGTCGCTCTGATAACTGAGCTCTTGTGTGTTAATATTTATAAATCTCACATTATGCAATAGGAAACATAATCTAACAGCATTAGTTGGTAGATGTTTACTTGGAGTACCAAGAGGTGGCGCTTATTTGTTTCAGTTTACCGGAACCAGAACTATTTGCAGTGGGTGTATCTTTCTAATAGGTTGGGATATTTTTTAGAACTTCATTTAGCAGGTTTAAACAATTAAGTAAAATTTAAATTTATGTTCTTATTCATCGAAACGCATTTCATTACTGCAGTGTTTACCATTATTTTTACTTTGTGACTTCGTAAGTTTATCGAAATATCTGTTCATCTTTGTAGTAAGAGAGAAGCTTTTATTTTTCTAAAATTTTCTTTTTTTGTGTGTGTTAATACTCTACATTTGCTTTATAATGGAATTCTTTCTTTACAATCATTTAATTTTCAGGAAGATCTTTGTATACCTCTAAAATTTTGATTTGTTGCTTCGTAAGCGAGAGTGCTGACGTAAATGTCAAAAAGAACTTGTACTAGAGCTCCTCGTCGTCATTAATTATTATTTGTAATAAGAATGGATTGAGTAAATTTATTTTAATAATTTCGTCACATGTTAAATTATTATTTAAGATATTTGCTTTGTATATTCGGTGTTGATTTTAAGCAACTGGACGGGTCAACTGCTTAACAGCCAAAAGAATAAAAATACAAACAACTTATTAGTCAAATGCCACATTAATCAATTATGGCCTTGTTTCAATTTTAGTTTAAGTGACTTTATTATTGTATGCATTTATTTGGTGAATAAAACTGAGGTATTTCTATAATATATTTGTATTTTGTAAAATTGTTATGGTTTTGATTTGGTGACAAATATTTAAATTAAGTTACATTGTATGTTTACATTTAACCTGGCAGTATACACTTCATTGATGTAATTTCTAATTAAAGAATAATTATGACTTATATTATATTCTAGTATTTCTCTCAAAGTTTTAAAAGTAGTTTATCACTCTAATGAAAAATCTCAGAATTGAGGAAAGAAACAAATCTTTGTTAAAAGATCTAATGTTAAAAGATAATCTATTGTTAAAATTTAGAATGTATTACTTGGCATAGTAAAGTTAATTGTGATTTTATATAAACTTGTAATTTAGTTTGTAGTTCAAGAAAAGACTAGCATTGCTTGCCAAAATTTTAGTTAATTAGTTTAACATATTACTAAGTTACGCTAGCTCAAATATAGTTGGGTAATTTACGAAAAACAAGTGCATGTAATAGTGATTGTATTTTTAGTAAAAAAAAAGGAAGCTTATCTTATAACTGTTATAGCTATTTATGAATAACACCTATGCTTATAAATATTTATTTATACAATTTCACCCAAATAGAATAAATAATAGATCTTTTACAATAGATCTTTGTCATAGGTGTAGTGTTAAGGAAATTTTTTTAGTGTCATTTTTTTGGAATTTAATAATTGTAACATTTTTTAATATTTATTTGCATTATTAATATTTATTATTACTAACTAGTGGGATTGTATTTTAGATTGCTTATCTAACATTATTAATGTTTATCTGGCCTTTCAAGTCTTTCTGACATTTTTGAAAATTTGACAAACATTTAAAATAATTTCAAAAACATTATATTAAAGTATCAAAACATTAAATCTTAAATTTAAAATTAGGTATAAAAATTATATTTTACACAAAATTTATTAGTTATAAAAAAAATTCAACTTTGGCTCACATATTTTACCTAAAAGTTTGTTTGAAATAAATCAGTTTATAAATTTTAAGCTCAAAGCATACTGTTTTTAGTAATGGAACAAAAATGAATTAAAACTATAGTAAATAACTTCTAATAGTAAGAAATCAGATCTCATTTTGATTTTAAAATTGTGTGAATATGAATTGCGGTGTATAATTTTTTAAGTCACTTGAACACAATTTATAATAGTGACTTCTAAATCTTGTGAATACAAAACTCTATATTATTTGATTTTAAAATAGTGTAAATACCAAACTCTGATTTTAAAATTGTGTGAATATGAATCTATATATGATTTTGAAATCACATGAATATGAATTTCTGTGATTTTAAAGTCTTAAGAATACTAATCTTTGTTTGGTTTTAAAATCGCGAAAAAAATGTGAATTCTGATATACAATTTTAAAGTCTAACACAAATCATAATAGTGACTTAAAAATCACAAACGCAATATTTGATATAAAATATTTCAAATATGAAACGTGTTACGCAATCTTAAATCTTGTTTGCATTGGTAGGAAAAAATATTGTTTTTTTTTCTCAGGAAATTCGAACAAGAAAGTTTTATTGACGAGGCAGATTTTTTTCTTTTTTTAGCAACAGTAAAAAATTTTCTGCGATAAGGATACATTTTCCGTGAGCTACGTTCATATATATTATATGGGTCTGTATGTATAAATATATATATATATAATCAACTACACTAGGGATGCATAACCTTTTTAAGTGAAGGACCACTTGGACAGCAGATTGACTAATGGAGACTGCAAGCATATTTAGTTATGCTGGTGGCAAATATGATAATTTTTATCTTAAAATTGGTGTTCTAAACACTAAATATTTTCATCAGTAAACTTAGTAACCTATTTTTGGAAAATTAAACTTTTAATTATTAGAATTTAAAATTCACTAGTTGTAATAAAATTTGGAATTTTTTTAACTTTAAAACCATTATGCAATCCAAAAATTTTTGAAAAAATGATTGAAAAATAACAGTGGAAACAAAGTGCTTCAAAAAGTGATTATTTAAATGTGCTATTTGAAACTCGCGTGTCGTAATTCTCTCATAGTGAAAATATGAGATTTTCAAAATCCCATGCAAAAGAGTGGTAATTACAGCCTTTAAAAAAAATTCATTTATGATGAAATTAGCAAAAATGAAGCATGTCGGTGATCAATTAAATGCACAATTTATAAGTCACAAGCGGTAATAAGTGTATTTACATTTTAAAAACAGTATAGAAATTGGTAGTTATAAATGCCAAAAAAAAACCTTTGGAACATCACATGGATTGATTACAAAATCTGAAAAAATGACTGTGAAAAAGTTATTTCTTAAATTCATAACTATTGCATCATAATAACCTATTAAAACTATTAGGTTTTCAAAAACTATACAGAATTTCGTAGCAATAACTGTTGAAAAACTATAGAAAAACTACATATATTTACAACAGAATTGGTGGAAATTGAGCGCATCAAAAAGTGATGACTCAAATTTGCAATTCAAAATTTTCCAGATTTTTTTAATTTTCAGGGGAAAGAGAAAAAAATTGCGCCCAGAAGCTCTTGCGGGCCGCTGGTTGTACACCCCTAAACTACACCATGTGCTCTATACCTAAAAACATAGATATTGTTTGTTTTTACATTTTGAAATATATCTTGTATATTTATATAAATTGGTTATGGCATAGAAATGAGTAGAAATTGACCTTTATGACATTTTTATAATAACACAAAATTGTAGATGCGACTAATAAAACTTTTCATCCAAATATTCCAGTAAAATTTCATTTAACTTTTTATTCAGGTAGAAATTTTATTCATTGTCTTTTTATCACCTATATTTATATAATTTTTATAAAATTAAGGAATGTAAAGGAGTAGTTAGAATTGAAATTGCAAATTTCTGTAATACTTAAAAAATCATTATTATTTTTTTTTAGTTACTAAATTCTTATTTCTACTAACAATTTTTTAAATAAAAACTGACAAAAAATATTAAAACTACAAAATTTAGGTATTAATGGTCAGATATTAATTATAACTGAATGAAATTGTATAAATATTTTAAATAATTCAATTCTTAATAAAAGTAGAAATGGAAGACAAACATGCCAAATTAATTTCTAATTAAAAATTTATGAAGCAAATCAAAATACATTTAATAATATTTTTTTTTTAGCTATTTGGTTTTACTTTACAAACTTAATATTTTGTTATTCTAATCAAACTATAGTTGAAGCACAAAGTAGAATGTATTCATAACTATCTAAATGCTGATAAATAGATTATTTTAACTTTATTTCAATAATATATTTATGTTATATAATAATTTGCTTCTAAGTATTAAAATTTCGTATTATGTTTACGAGCAATGTTCTTATCGTTAAATGATAACTTCTTTATTGAAATCTGACAAAAAGGAAACTAAATATGTAATAACCAAATGAGTCAAACACATAAAAAGTTTTTCAATTAGTAAAGCAATTCTAAACTTTAGGAAATCACTGACCCCTATAAGTGTATTTCAGGTAGGGGTAGTAATTATGAAAAGATAGTTTTTTACCAAATAGATGAAAAACTATTAAATTCTTTACTTAATTACATTTTTTATAAATCAAAATTTTTTACTTGCCTGATATTTTATGGAAGAAAATAAGGAGACAGTAATTATATTCAATATTGTGACCCACAGATTTTTTAAGGTGAAATCACATTTATTTGCTCTAAAAGAAATAATACTGCAATTAAACTTTTACTATTCTGTTGAAGAGTATTCTTCTTTAACTTGGAAGTTACATTTTATTCAAATAGAACGCCATCTATGGTGGGTTTTTTTTGGCACTTTTCATACTTAGGACAGTAATTCCACAAAAGTTGGATTCATACAAAATGGTGTTTAAAACAAACTATGCAAATTATTCTAAGAACTACTTTTCGGACCCAACTTTTGGGATTGTATTTTACAGATTGCTGTGATTATTTTTGGAGTCAAAAATCCGAATCAATCAAAGGTTTCTTCAAAGAAAGTATGTTTTTGTGTCTGATTTCGTAATTTAAAATATCATCTGCACTACTTAATTAGCATATTTGAGGTGTTACCTCAAACCATTAAAATTGAGTCCTAAAATGTGAAGATCTGATCAAAAGTTCCTTGAGTTGGTCTTAAAGTTGAGTTGATCTTATCCTGTATATTAAGGAATAAGATTTTTCTTAGTCTTTTTTGAACTCTTATATAAATCTGACATCTCCAAATCTTTTATTAACATCATAATCTGGCATACTAACACCCTTATTTTCATATAATATCAATTTATTCTCTCAATATTTAGATTTGCTACTAAGCCCTTTGGCTTAGATTATACTCTGGATTTAGGAAATTCGATCTATAATAATTAAATAAATTTTGTAGTACATACATATTAAGTTTTTTTTGCTTCGCAAGTACTTGAAGATATCAACAGTGACTACGGAAACTATTTTGGGAAAAGGGAAACAATTCACCAGTAATTAGTAAAAGCTTTCTTCTTCAGGAGCGCAACAGCCCTTTGCAGGCCTTGGCTGCCTCAACAGCACACCTTCTCCAGCTCCCTCTGTCCATGGCAACTCCCCTCCAGTTCTTAAGTTTCAGGACTTTGAGGTCGTTTTCAGTGTCTTTGAGCCATCGAGTAGGTGGTCTACCTCTAGAGCGGGACCCCTGAGGGTTCTTGAAGGTGGCAATTTTTACAGGGCTATCTTCAGAGCCTCTCCATATATGTCCGAGCCATCTTAGTCGGTTGCTTCGGATTATCTGCATAATTTGAGGATGTTTATAGAGCCCATAAAGTTCAAAGTTGTACCGTGTTCGCCAACATCCCCCCTCTGGTATGGCACCAAAGATAGTTCTAAGTATCTTTCTTTCAAACGTTTCTATCGGGCGTTGGACGTCAAGGTTTAAAGTCCAGGTTTCGTTTCCGTATAGCAAGACAGGCAGAATGAGTGTCTTATATAATTTTAGTTTTGTTTTTTGGCTAATAAAATTCGATCTTAGTTGACTTTTTAGTCCAAAAAAACATCTGTTGGCCATATTGATTCTATTGTCAATTTCAGGTTTCAGTTTGTTTTGGTCATTGATAATTGTACCAAGATACTTAAATTCTTTAACCTTTTCAAAGGAATGTCCGTTTATCTGCAAAGGTTCACTATAGTTTACAGTTGAGCTTGAAAACTCCATGAATTTGGTCTTGTCTTCGTTAATGGAAAGGCCCATATTTATAGCAGAGGCCTCAAGGGCTTGAAAGGCATCTTTAACAGCCCGTTCTGATCTTCCAATGATATCAATGTCGTCCGCATAAGCGAGGATTTGGAGAGATCTGTTCCAAATAGATCCTCCTCGGTTTAATCCGCTATCCCGAATGCATTTCTCCAATGCCAGGTTAAAAAGCAGACAAGCAAGAGAGTCTCCCTGGCGCAGGCCTCTTTCGGTAATGAAAGGTTCAGATAGATGGCTTTGGATTTTAATCCTGCATCTCACATTGTTGATAGTGGCACGGGTGAGACTTACGAGTTTTGTAGGGATTCCGAACTCGTTCATCGCTTCAAGTAATTTATCTCTTTTAATACTGTCGTAGGCAGCTTTGAAGTCTATAAATAGGTGAAAAGTCCTGATGTTGAACTCTTTAGTTTTTTCAAGGATCTGTCTTAGAGTATGAATTTGGTCAATGGTAGACCTTTGAGGCCTGAATCCACATTGGTAATTTCCGACCGCTTTATCAGCAAAAGGCTGGAGCCTTTTGAAAAGAATATTGGAGAAGATTTTATATGCCGTATTGAGGAGTGTTATACCTCTGTAGTTACGACATTCAAGTTGGTCTCCTTTTTTAAAAATAGGGCAGATGGGCAGTAAAAGCTTTACACCTCTAAAATTACTAGTAAAAGCTCAATTATATTGAATGTATGGGAATCTGCGAATTCCAGATAGACAAAAGTTCTAAACACCATATTTAAATGCTAAAAATCTGTTTTCGGTTTTATTTCTATTCCGTAGAAGGCATGGCACCATAATATAAACAAAAGTTTTATCTGTATATCTATGGTTCATGAAAAATTATAATAAGGGGGAGGAAAAACTTTAAAAAAAAGCAGTTTAAAAAGTAAGTAAGATACAAAAAAAGAAAAATTTGCTAAATTAAAAAAAAAAAAAGTAAGGGAAGCAAGAAAAGATTTCATGTTTAATTCTTTATTCTGTATTTGCTAATGTTCCTATTTTAAAGCCAATAATCTTAGGTTTCCATACTTTTCCCTTCTGTTCTATAATTTAAAAAAAATCAATGGAAAACTAAAGTTTCTAAAAATCACTTTTGTTGAAAAATTATGTGCTATTTGATAATAAACTTCATTTGCCTCAAAAAATTTGATTCCCTTGTTAACAACACAAGCTCTTCTCCACCTCTCCATAGCATGTGGAGATGAATTTTTTCCTGCTTTGCCTCAATCGGCTACTGTGAATTTTCTAGTTTAGTTTTCCACCTTTATTTGCCAATATTTTATTTGCAAATTTTGTTTTGTTTCAAACTTTTGTTTCCTCCATTCACATTTGACGAGTCTTGAGAAAGGGCGCCTTATTTTTGAGTGCTCGAAACTTGTCTGCTTTTTATACAATCTTTATATTTTTTTAAGCAAATGAAGTTTTTACATCAAGTTTATGTTTCAGTTTCATGGGATCATTTATTTAATGAATTAACTTGATTAGTTATATTTGAGCAAAATTGAAAACTGGTATTTTTTTTGCTTTGAGTGTACCATGAGTATTTTACACTAAGGCAGACTAAAAAAAAAAAAAAAGTAAATGTTAATACTATATATAAGCCATTTTTTATATTAAAATATTTGACACCATATTATTCTGAAAATACTGGTTATTTTCTCTTTTGAAAAATAAATATAAAATTTTTAATAATGTTTTGCAAACATTGCAATAAAATGAATTCTGGAAATTATAGCTTTTACTAAATCATTGAAATTTTTATATATATATATATATANATATATATATATATATATAATTTTTTTTTGTACACCTGTTTCAAATTTCAAAATTTTTCCAAAATTCCAGATATGACTTTTACATTGTGTGTGTATAATATATACCTGTAAGCATATTGAGTGAAAAAAAAAACTATATTTAAAAATATTCAAAACTTTTGAGTTATGTAAGGTGTAAAAAATTTAAATAGTTTTGTAAACTACGTTATTTAAAGTATCAAATTTTAAGGTAGGAAGCTAGTCAATTGAATAGTTTCTTATTTTTTCAAAATTAATAGTCAAACCCCGCTATAGTGAACACGGTTTATAGTGAACTCCCGGATATAGTGAACGAAATGTTCGACCCCGTGCCTTGCTGTACACGTATAATGTTATTTTTTGTGGATATAGTCAACCAAAAAGTTGAGGAAGTTGGGTATAGTGAACTTTTTTCTGTCTTCGTCTGATTTTTTTCTTCATTTTATTTGTAATAATTTTGAAATTTCTACTTAAAAATAAATAGATATACCGAATTTTAAAACCATCTATAGAGGGGAATGTAGCGATAAGCATTTCTTCTTGGTTGCTTCTTTTATCTTTATTTCCCATCCCTAAACATGCCAAGCAGATGTTTCCAACCCTGGCAGATGATGCACCTGTCAGGTGTCAATGGGATCAATATGCATTTTCTGTCAGAGGGAATGAGTAATTATTCATTATTGGTCAAAGGTTGGACACTAATCTGTGTTGATAAGGCCCTCATTTCAACTTCTTTTTGCTCTCAGTTCAGTTAAAAAAAGCCTGCAAACAAGTGTCTCAAATTCAACTATGGTAAACGTAAAACATTCTCCATTGATGATAAAATGGGCATGATTAGAAAAATTGAAAATGAATGTAATCAAACTGATATTTGCAGGGAATATATACTATCCAAATCTACAGTTTGTAACACATGGAAAAATAGACAATTTCTGCTCATGAAAAAAAAATTTCGATGAATTTGCTAAGCGAGTTAGTGAGACTACTTTTATGTGCTCAAATGGCAGGTTAGACAAAGGTTAGCTTAAAAAGCGGAATAACAGAAATTCAGGAAAAATTAGCTGAGAGTCGGGAAGTGTTTCCATATCTGATATTGAGGATTGCTCATCAGCTAAAGATTACTAATTTTTTTTTTGTACGCAAGGCGAAGAGTAATGAAAAATAACACATTTTTTGCTACTACATAATATTTTTCAGTCATTTATTGGAATAATCTGTAATAAAAGAGAGGAGTTTTGGAACCATTAGTTAAATTACCTGGGTAACGGATATAGTGAACTCCCGGTTATAGTGAACCGAAACTTCGGTCCCTTGAAGGTTCACTATACCGGGGTTTGGCTGTATTAAATTTTCCTAGATTATTGTTATTTTTCAGTAAATATATAATTAAAGTTTCTAAATTTAGCATGTAGGTATCGGGAAATATTCTTGGATGGATAACGATAATGATGCACTTTTAACACTATCGATTAAGCTTTATTTTAAATTTATATCTTCCATTGTACAGGAAAATCCTCTTTCAGCACATAACTAAGCATGGTAATGAGATTTTTATTGAATACACTTGAAAGTAAAAACCATCCAAAATATTCTAATTTCATGTCAAGTCTTATTCGAATTAGGAATATGGTAGATAAAATGTTAAGTTCTATTGTATGAATTAGAAAAAATGTTTCAATATAAAAAATTTACTCTTCATATGAAAATACTGAAAGGATAAAAGGAACCAATAGTTTGCTGCTACTTTGTTACTGATTATTATTAAGATTAAAGTGTCTAATTCTTTTTTTCTTTCCAGATTGTGTATACTGCACACCTATAAAAAATGCCTGCAGTTCGAGGAGAAGGCATGCGCGGCCTAGCTGTTTTTATTTCTGATATAAGAAATTGTGAGTTGCTTTTATCTTTTCTAACGTGCCTTTATAACTAAACTAGCATTCCAACTCAATTTTTTTAATGTGCGACTTTTGTATTTTTCTATGACTTCCCAATTTTCTGTAACTCGACAATTTCCTCTTGTTTTTCTTATTAAAAAAAAATAATGATAAAAATTATGTACAACATTTTAAAAAATCTTAATTTTCTCTATAATTTTTCAGTTTCTGCTTTGAAGAGGTTACTAAAACTATTGTTAATTCTGTATTTGCACTCGCATATCTGTATCATAAGATTTGTTCCAGAATATTTCACTATCTTTTCATGAATAAGATTTCCGTGAATTTTGAGTCGCTGTTATACTAAGTGTAAGCAGGTTTTTAGGAAAGTTCATATGCTATGCTTTTTAAAGATACTATTGAAGGCATATTCCTAATAAAAAATAATTTCACTGAAATTCTTATGAAAGAAATTTACTCCACTGACGGTTCTGCACGTAAAAAGTGTTATTTTAACCTTCTGTCTTCTCCTCGCAGCAACCTCACCTATTGGGAAGATACATTTTCCCAATTTCTCCCATTTGTTAAATTGCCAGTGTGTTAATAAGTGTTTCTTTTTGAAAGTTAAGTCTTCTTTGCAAAAATATATTATATCCTCAATAAAGTTATTTCATTAATATTTTTCATTTTTTTTAACCCTTTGACGGTTATGAATGAGTTCAGTTCGCAATCGAATCGTGCCTCATAATGCGTGCAAACGAGTTCCGCTCGGGAGCAAGATTTAGACAGTAATAGTTAGTAACAAGCACTACTCGCGTAATGAAATTTTTCCCCAATGCGCACTGACGAGCTGAGTTCGTTCGCCATTGTTATTCTGAATTGACTATGTTAAAAACGAAAAGTACTTAAAAACTGTTATTTGTGTACTACGAATACTTTTAAGAAATTCTTAAAATTCGTGAGGCGAGCTATCTACCGCATCCAGAGATGCCAGCTTGCTCCGCTTTGTAAAATAGTATTTCCTAGTGATAGCGAAAGTCAAGTTACTTTCAGTTGAGTATTTTTCCTTTTAAGTAATTTTTTCACCTCTAAATATCAAAAACTATAAGTATCATATAAAATGCAACGTTAAAACAACACTCTACTAGTTACTCTATTAAAAAGTAGGTGTAACTGTCCTTCTCCAACGAAATTTACTACATAATTTGCTACCACTTTATTATAACAATTCCAGATTAAATCTTGCGGAATGTTTAAAGAAGAAACATTTTTAGATGTTCTTTTAAAATATTTAAAAGTTAAAATTAACAATTAAATTAGGTTATTAGTTTTATGTTCTTTTAAAATTTTAAATTAACAATTAAATTAGGTTATTAGTTTGACATGTATTTCTATGATGTGCACTTTTTAGCATTTGAGTACCTTTTTTCTCCAAAAGGGTCCAGGATTATTATAAATGCTGCTTGCTCCCTCTTTCAGTTCTCTCAAATTATTCCATTTTTTTAGAAAATTGATTTTTGAAATATTTTTAAACCCTAATATACCAAATAAAATGTATTGCTTTAAATTTTTATAAAAAAAAGTCATTACTCTGTTAAATATATTTTAAAAGTAATATTTTTTTTTTCCTTGAGAAATTTTCGTGTATGGCTATATAACCATTGCTGTTCTCCTGTTATAAAAATGAGAATGAACCTATTTTGAATGAGTGAGTATTTTGAAGAAATGACTTTTTTCAGTCTGTCTAAATAGAACTTAAAGCCATTATTTGTTAGTTTTCTTAGTCCTTTATTTTCTTTTTGTTACCGTCTATTTACTACTGATTGAAACAACTAACTTCACACCGCATATATTTACATGATTTGTAAATCACACACAGGAATCCATATTCACCCATTTTTAAAATTTTGCACATTGCAATGTGTTTTATAATATGAACAATATTAAATTCAAGGTGTTTGCATGCAGATAAGTAATCCCCCTGTTCTATTTAAAATGTGTCTTAATGTTACTTATCCACTTGTACAGTGTGATGAATTTTGTAGTTGAGCAGGAAAATTCCTGTTAATGACAATGCCGCTGAAAAGAAACAAGATTTTCATGTACCGAAGTGAGAATTTTTGTGTTCTGAAATTGTTCCAAAAAAGGTTTTAAGCACTTCAAATCCTATTCACATGAATTAAATCTATGAATAATGTAGTTCTATTAATACAGATAATTTTATAAATAAAGAAGTATTAGTAAAAAACTAAGGCAAATGTTGTGAAAAAAGGTCAAGAATTTCATGAATTTATTTCTCTTGGACCTGGTAGACACTCTGACATGCATTTTATTTTTTAAATTTTGATAATAAATTACATTAATTCTATGGTACCACATTAAGCAAGAGTATTAAAAAAAGAATTATATTTAGGTTTTAAAAGGCATTGGCAAAAAAAAAGATATCCTTCCTATTTTTTTATGTTACTATAGATTGTAAAAAAATTTGAAGACAAACTTTTTGACATACTGTTCTATATAATAGAAAAAGATAGTAAATTTTAAAATGACAAGTATATTTTATAGAAATATCATTTGTTTAGAAAATCTTGTTTTTTTACTCTGAACTCTGTACTTTTAATCAGCTAGCTGTATTTTGAGCTCTAGACTCTTTCCCTCACCAGTTTGCATTTCAGGTTAAATTTTTTGTCATAAGTTTCCTGAATATTTTTAGTTTTTAACAAACTTTTGATACTGGAATTAAAATTGACTGTAAACCTTGTCAAAAAAAGTATGAAAAAAAATGAGGTTTCTAAATTGATTACCAGATAACTTTTTTTTTTCTCTCCATAATTTTTTTTTGACGATTACTTATTTTTTTTTTCGTATTTTAATTCTAATTTTAACTTTTAGCATTTTCAAGATAAGCCTTCTTTTTTAGCTATTAGTAGCTTATTTACATTTATCACTTATTTATCATTTTTATTTAGTGTTCGAATTTTTAAAATTGTAAATTTGTGTAATTTTGCCAGAGAAGAAATCCCAAGAAATTCCAAATAGCACTTACTATAACTATCACTTTCTGATTGGGCATTAACCTTGTGTTTTACATGTTTCAAACGATATTGCTGAGTAATATCTGTTAAGTATAGCAGTTTTTTGAAAAATATTGGTAGAAATTAAAAGATGATTAGTTTTTGTCATTCTTAACATTTCTTCTCATTACCCTATACAAAGTTGTAAATAGGTTCTGAGGGAAGAAGTCTTTTAAGCATTAAGTATTTAACAAGGTGAAAAGCAAATACGTATAGATTATGAATATTTTTGAGTTTTTAAGCAAGTCATTTTTTAGAGAAATTTAGTGTATAGATTTGATGCCTTATATATTTTTAAATATTAAAATATTAATGGAAAAAGCTAAGCAAGTCTTCAAGAATTTTGTGGCATACATTTAATTGTTTTTGTTAGAAATATTCTCTATGAATTCTTTTTATAATATGGAAATTTTCTTAGCTTTCAATGGAAATATGAACTGCATATTGAAAAAAAAAAAAAGTTGTGTGCAGCTGGGTTATCTCACAGAAGTGAAATAGAATCTCAGTTCATATCCTACAACTGTTTGAATTATGTTTCCTGCATGTGACAGAATTTTTTTTAAAAATTACCTTTGTTTAGAAATTTTGCACCTGATATTTTCTATTTATGTAAATAGAAATTTCCATGCTTGTGATTTGAGGAGTTAATTTAAAGCTACAAATTATATTTTATAAATATTTAATACAAAGAAGTTAAGCTTTTATCTGTAGGATAGAACTAAATAAGGGTTTTATTTATATTGATAAAATTGCAATTTTGTTCATTTTGTTAAAAATGCAATTTTGTGTTAATTTCTTTTTTAATCTTTTAGTAAGATATCTTAAGTAATGCTTTTTCACTTTTAAAGGTTCTGTTTGAAATAAACCTTTTTTAAAAAAATTATATTTGATAGAAAGTAAAAATATTGTATCTAGTCATAATTATATTGCTTTGTATGTATTTGCTAAAAATGGTAGTATTATGACAGTAAATGATAACATAATGAAATGAGAAAATTATTAATAGAAAAATTTATTTAAATACATAGATTTACAAAGTGACATAAAATGGTGTACAACTTTCCTTTAATATTCATTACACAAATTTCCTAATTAACACATTGTTTCCTTTTTAATTAAAGTGTTCAATAATGTTAAATATTTTACAAACTAAGCAGAAACACCTCGGGAAAGTATTGGTTATTTATAGTGTCTTTTTCTAAGAAACTGTAGTTTCTGTAACATTTTTTTGAATATAAACTTGTGATCAGCTGATAGTCCTCTTTCTGAAACATTAGTAGATTGCTCTTCCAGATTTTTTAAAAATATTAAATATGGAAATGTTGGTAATGACATTAAACTGAAATTAAGAAAACTGCCTTCCAAAAATCAAATAAACAAACTGAATTAACAAAAATATTTCAATATAGCTACGGAAAAAATTTCCTTGTGATTATAAATTTTTGTAATAAGAAATTGAAAGGACATACTGAATTTCAATTTATTTAAATGACTTTTTAAAAATATTCTTAAGTGTTTTGCATTATATAACAAATATTAAAATATGTTTATTTCTAGGTAAAAGTAAGGAAGCTGAGATAAAAAGAATCAATAAGGAATTGGCTAATATAAGATCAAAATTTAAAGGTAGTAACTGTAACTAGGATGTATTCTTTCCTGTTTTAATTAAATTGTTTATATATATATGTGTGTGTTTTAATGTTTTTTTTTTCAAAGGTGATAGAGCTCTTGATGGTTATCAAAAGAAAAAATATGTTTGCAAGCTATTATTTATATTTCTTTTGGGCCATGACATTGACTTTGGTCATATGGAAGCTGTTAATCTTTTAAGCTCTAATAAATATTCAGAAAAACAAATTGTAAGTATAGCTTTATCTTCATAAATTGTGTAGAAATGTTTCTTTGCCTTTTTAAATATATATATATATTTTTTTAGGGATACCTCTTTATCTCTGTGTTGATGAATGCCAATAATGAGCTGATGCGCCTTATCATTCAGTCAATAAAAAATGATCTTTCTTCTCGCAACCCAATTCATGTTAATTTGTCCTTGCAGTGCATTGCAAATATTGGTAGTCGGGAGATGGCTGAAACATTTGGGTCTGAGATTCCTAAACTTCTAGTGTCTGGGTTTGTATTTTTAAAGTATTAGTTAATAAATTTTCCACTGTTTAAAATTTTTTAGTATCCATTATAATAAAAAATTATTTAAAAATAATCAAAGCTTTGAGTTATGTAAGGTGTAAAGAGTTTATACATAGTCATGTAAAGTACATTATTTAATGCAAATTTTAAATTGTGAAGCTTACATATATATATATATGTGTGTATATATATATGTATGTATATATATATGTGTGTATATATATATGTATGTATATATGTATGTATATATATATGTGTGTATATATATATGTATGTATATATATGTATATGTATATATATGTATATGTATATAAAATTCCAATTTCCAATTGATACCATGTTAATCTTTTTAAACAATAAAAAAGAAACAATGGAACTTTTAAAGTTATTGTTAATAAAAAAAATTCTTAAATTTAACAGGGAAAATTCTGTCTAGTTCATTGTTCCAATGCATTGTTTAAGATGTCGATCGATATAAAATGTAATAGGTTTGTTGGTTTAACTTCTTTTGTAAATTGACTTCTTAAAGTTTGCGTTCGGTTAGATCTGAGAGGAAAAAAATATCCAGCATCGTCCATTAAAATGCTTAAACACTTCCTGAAAATCCCTGCTTTATTTGCAATAGGATATTGCTTAGTCCGCGCATCCTCTTCTAATAATTTGAAATGTCACGGATTCTCACTTGCGATGGCCTCCGGTTTGGTATTTGTCTTGTGGAACGAAAGATTTGAAAAAAGCTGGAGTGGAGCAAAAAACATCGAGGCACGCAGTGAGAGTTCCAGTAATTTGAGTTGCCAGTCTTCTAAATTCAATGACGAGTCTACACATGATGCAGGAATTGAGACTATTTTTACTAAATGCAATAGTGGGAGAATATCGGACGATGATACCAGATATGACCAACCAGAAACTTTGATGTCAATCTGCCGTCAATGGATGCGAGATAATGACCACTTCACGCCAGACGCTGAAGAGATTGCCAGCGAAGAAATAGATCCATTCTATGCTGAAGGAAGTTTGACACACCATTTCTTTGTCACATGTGAGCCACCAAGCATCAGTGAAACTTCATCAAAGTCTGATATCCCTTCACAATTACAACTAGATGAAGGTGTTGCAGACAACTACGAAGTAG